ACATATGTTTCATATGTTTGTTGTTGTTTGATTTATCATCTACGGGTTTATGTCGAATTAATTTGATGGCCTGCTCCCAGTTGGCTTGTTAGCTCAATTGGTAGAGCGCTGCACTAGTATCGCAGAGGTCAGTGGTTCGAATCCCGTACAGGCCTGAAATTTTTTTCAGGTCTGATTTTCACTATTGCTCAAATAGTGCTTTACTGCGAAGGATCGTACACATAAACATATATGCAAGACACTGCAACCAAAAACATCACTTAACTCTAACGTCTGAAGATAAGAACCTTTTCGAATTTTTGGCTTAATCAGGGGCTAGATTAGTGACATAGAAATAATAATCGACAAATCCAGCTGATTGAGAGTAATGAAAATGCATTAAAACGAAGCCAAAACATGTATGAACGTCGCTTAAAATACATTAACCCAAATTAGACTTTCGCAAAACTTGCATTTGCATGCTGTTAAGTGTTTTAATAACTTGTAAGTTCAGTCTTCATATACACTGAGTTAAAAAAAAAAAATGATTTAAATTATTGGACTAAAAAACAGTCTGCAGAAGCTTCTTCTATTTCTCGCTTATTAACAGCACCCTTCCAAGCGCCCAAAAACCTCGCTCTGAGGCTAAGGTCTCAAGGTCTCTCCAGTCCTTCTCTAGAACAGATTTAGCCATTCTGGTTGGTTCGTTTTCAGAAGCTCGGTAATGGTCGCGTGACTCGGCATTGGAGCAGATGTTGACACTCATCAACTGTCAATCAACAAAGTTGATAAGTGCGGTAAAACCCTTTAAAGGCCAACAGAGAGCAGACTTCAGCGCTGAATTTCTAGCGATGTTTTCTTCCATAATTAGAAATTGCAATATTTGGGTTACTACGTATGATGCACGATCCACGCAGTAGAGAGCGCTATTTATGCATAAGTATCTAATACCGCAGTTCAAAATATATGAACTTCATATATTCATTGTATTTGGGTTACCGTAAGGTGCACTTTTTTTGTATCCGAATCTGCTGCCAAGATACCACTTGTGCAATTTTTTGAACGAGTCAATTTGGAACTGAACTGTCTAGTAACTTGAGTTAATTCAGCATTTCTCAAATTAATGAATTCCGACCAATTAAGGTCGGGAAAACATTTTTTGAGAACCCTGGGTAACCTGGTTACAATACTTGTTTTTCAAACAGAGCACTCCCGTAACATCGGTCACGTAATTTTCCTGTAAAATGTATATAATGCACAAAAATAATTTATCTGAGGGACACCGTGGCGAACATTTTGCTTTCTGTATGTTTGAGTACTCCCGCTTGACTACTTCGCGTTGCTTCGTTGCACTGTTTTTCCGGAGATTACCGACAGCTTCCGAACATGTCCGATTTTTGCGCCTTCGGCCGGTGCTGAAATTAGCATAAATGTAAAGTCTTTCCTTCGGAATAGGCAGTGTTGTGGGTTTAACAAGAATTTTTTGCTGGGCATGGGGAGAATTTTGTAAAGAATGAATGAAAAATTACGATGGAAGTGGAAACGTGGAAGCCTAAGCATCAACTTAGATAGCGATTTGCAGTATATTAGGAGCTCAAATATCTGTTTAGCGCGGACTTGTTCGCTGTTCTGAGGCGAATCCTCAAAAATTCACGCAAGGTTTTTCCTGACGTTCCTTGGTTAGGATGAGAAAAATGGCTGGTTTTCGAATGCCGGCATCTCCTCCACCTCCAGATCTCTCGAATTTGACCGAGGAGGAAAAGGAAATCATTCAGTCCGTGTTGGAACGGCAAAAACAAATGGAAGAAGAAACAAACCAGTTGCAACTGTAAGCTAAATCTCCAGTACTAAAATTTTACACACAACGCCATCATGGCGTTAGGTAATGCTGCTTTTTTCGGCGTGTTTAATTTTATTCCTTAGGTAAAATGATATCGTTTACGAATAGTAATCGTTTGAACTTCGTTTGGTCACTATATTATATTGAGCTTGCTTAGTTCTCCGCTATTTTTTCACGCTTGGCTGGAAATTAAACAAGTGTTTATACTTTGACATGTTTTTGTTGTAGATCCCTACAGAAGGAGGTGGAAAGTTATCAACATCGGGTCGAAAGAAAGACTGGTCAAGCACAAGTGGATTCTGGTCCAAAGGAGGACAATGTTTGCGAAATTTGCCACAAGACTAAATTTACTGATGGTGCCGGAAAAGAGTGCAAATATTGTAAACTCAAAGTCTGCGCACGATGCGGTGTTCAAGTTACTATTCCTGGTACAAAACAGGTGAATTTTAGAAATTCTTTTAGCGATTTCCACACAGAGAAGTGTGTAACAGATACTATTGTTATCATAGGCGTCATTCAGATTTTCTCTTTATTTTTAAATAATTTTAAACGACTGTAGGATCTTTTTGATGAGTAGAGGATAACCTTTGTGGTTCTTGATTTCGCTCAGATTAAAATAACTGAATATTTTTTTTACTTTTTTCTCCTCCTTTATATTGGATTATTCGACAATTTCTTGCATCGATGCCCTCAGACTTCGGTAAGTCAAAGTATGATTTTATTCTTACAATTTTACACCATAAGATTTTATTTCAAGGCTCGAGATCTTCTAAAACATTTGCTGAAGGGTTTTGCAGAGCTGATAGTAAACACAGTGTTGACAGCTAAAGGCTTCCTCGCTCATGTATTTTTAAAAACTTCCACTTTGTAGATTTACTTTTATTAGAATTTCTTATTCGCTCAAGCTTGAACAATTTTATCGGTAAGCTCCATCTATCATTTGTCCATGGTGGCTTAAACTTTAAAATAGTAATCTGCAATTACAACTCTGTAGCGAAAATTTCCTGCGGATTATTTTGAGGGGCAACAGACTGTTGTGTGGATCATATTCCTCGGAGTATTAGATTTTACCTAGTAACTTTTTCCCACTTCTGCTTGGCGGATTAATTTTTATGAATATGCAAGTTTGAAGGCAGTTTAGTAAATCCCCATGGACGCTAACATTATAGGGTACTTTGAGAGTTTACTTTTCTTATATCGGAATCAGTGGAAAATGGCTTAATTTATATGGCGAAATTTTCGACCAGTACTTTCTTTTTGATATGCTTGTCACCAGTTGTGACGTACAGGTGAATATCATTGACCCACCCAGCATTTATTTTGGCAAACATTTTGCTTATGAAATGACATGTCCAAAATTTCAACTCTCCAAATTCCTCCCCATTATTTTTTACCAAGAATGTTTTCTTTATTTCTTTTAAAGTGTACATGTAGTCACAGTGGAAATTCCCTGTTCATAATAGTTACAAGATCAAAACATTCCAGCCCCATGAAGCATTGTATTTAAAGAACCTGCCTTGTGTAAACACTGCTACATTTACTGATTTATATGTCTTGCGTTAAGACTTGGTTGAACAACTGCACAGCTCTTCTGTGTGTGCTTTACTGGAAAATGTTCACATGTGCACTTTCTGAGCTTGGAAAAAATTATCTTGTTTACTCTTTATTATTAAAATGTGATCAGTATTCATAATTCTCAGCATAAGAATTCCCCTTTATTTTTGTTTCCAGCCAGATTGTTAAAACCTGTCTAGCTGAAAACCCCTTAACATTGTAATCTAAAACTTGCATTTCACAAACTTCAGAATAGTTTTTGTTTTTGCAAAGAGTGAAGTGTATTTTGACAGATTGTAGCTTCATTCATTTTTTATCATTGATTATGCAGAAGTGCATCAAAAACCAAATATCTTGTCTTATTATTTGTCACCCTAACCACAGGATAATTTCCTTTTTTTAACCCATCTCTCACAATTACAATAACATAAATTTAAACTTTTATAAAGCTGTATTAATTGAGCAATAGTTGTCCTTATCCAAATTTCCTTTGCTTTTTCATCTTACCTCTTACATTTGTGAGCTTAGCACTTGAAAATGTTCTCATCACTCCAACCAGTTAGTGTGGTTATGTGTCTCTGCTGCTGACGCAGTATAAAGCCATTTATAGAATACATTAAAAAGGGATTGATAAGATCTAAAGTTCACTGGAAAGGTTATTTCAGGGAAACTAGACAGAACTGATTTGTTGGTTACTTTTGTGGTTGAAATTAAGCGCTAATACTTGATTCAAAAAGTGTACAAGGTTATCTGTTCACGTGAAACAAACTTGCCAAATTTCCATGTTCCAGATTTGCAACTGTTGTAAGACTGATAAATGATAGCAATTATGTCTGGGAATCTATTAAAAATTCAAACTAACCCAAACATTAATTAAAAAGTGAAGAATTTCTTCCTTGAAATTTGATGAGGTGCAAAAATTATTTTCCTCCTCTTCTGGAAAACTCTCTTTATTTATACTTTTATAGCTAAGTTGTGTTTTCAATAATACGGAGTTTTAAAATAGCGACTGTTTTGCTGGTCAATTAACCCACTTCTTTGTCAGTTGTATTTGTTAACTCTGTTTCACCCTAAGGCTGTTTCTTTGTCTGACCAAATGCTTTCAGCATTAATTTATCTGATGGAGGTTTTTGATTAACTTTCAACCCTTTATTTCAAAGAGCGGTTATATAAACTTTTCTCATCATAATTCAAGAATATGGTTTAAACTGTAACACATCAAAATTTGAAATACTATTTTGTTTGTTTTGTAACATTTTGATAGAATTTTTTTCCCCTTAATATTCCCAAAGCTGATAGTAAGATCTATAGGGGGTATATTCTGACTGTCTGTGAGTGAAAAAAACATTTAACATTTCTCTAAATTGCCATCAAATTTTTTACAATCTTTTTGCATATCTCATTAGAGAAATTTCACAGTGGTGTGCATCTTGCAGTTATACAATCCTTTTCCTCATTTTGTTCATTTGATTGAACTTTTTTAGCATCAAGTTGAGAACTTAAAGACACTGAGTTATGTTTAGACTACATGTTTTAGTTTTTGAACAATGCCAGCCAAGAGTTTGAAACACTGCTTAGAAAAAACTCATAAATGAATTCCCCTCTGGTAGTAACATTCTTAATTGCTATAGTTATGCTAATATTGGCAATGTGTTTATCTTGGTGCAGTTCTTTGGTGAGGCACCTGTTAAAAGAGTTCAGTCTTAATTTATGGTTCAAGTGTTGATGGTAATTATGCAATGGGGACTGTCTCATAAATTGAGGTTCAAGTTGATTTCCTAACAAAAATTGGTGCCTAATTTAACCTGGAAAATGTTTTTCTTGGCAAGCATCTTTTTTTGGCCTATTGTTCTGCTACCAAGATTTACTATCACTCAGCATGTCTGGATGAATTGATACAATACTTTTAAACTTTGTTTTGATTGTAAATACTGTACACATGCTGGGAAAAAATATTCTTAAATTTAAAAAAGTATAAAACTGCATTAATTGTGGTCATGAATCCAACAGTTAATGTTTTTCATTTTTCTTTTGACTGTTAGGAGTTATTGTGCATTAGGAGTGAAAAGGCTTTCAAATTTTGTGATTACAATTTTTTCTGGTCTGGTCACCTGAGGTAAATCACTGCTAGTGATACTAAGGCTGGAAAGTTTCTCAATAGAAGGGAAAGCATGCTGAAAACCTTTCTTGTCAATCACGCTAAAATTTTGCTTATATAGACAAAATAAATTTAGGCAAGATTACCTGGAAGAAATAGGCATTTTTGTACCCTTCTCTGTATATACAAACTGGGAAGTGAATAACAAATTTTTGTAATTTAAAAGCATCTAAATAAATATTAATTGTTTGATTGGTGGAAAGCTGGGTGTTGCAGTCATTGAATCATATATATCTCAAATCTTGATGATGTAATTGCTGTCATTTGTGTAATTGCTATATCCAGTTGTAAAATTATCACATGAAACTGGTTACACAGGATGAAGTTCGTCTTCATGCCCCCAACTAGGCTATGCTCAAGAAGAATGGGAAGGAGCCCAGTGCTATGAAACTGTGAAACCCAGGGTGCCCAGTTTATGCTTTTTATGAAAAAACTAAGATTCCTGAGTTGCCCAAGTGTAAAAGTAAGGCACCAGCAGTCACTGGGTACTGCTAGACCACAGCCCTGCCCCTAGCTATGGCAGTTGAATGTTTTCCACCCTAATATCAGTGTGTGTATTCTCCATACTGTTCTCTATACATTTCCTAAGGTGCTGACAGGGAGAATTTGATTAACAATCAAGAGCTTTTTAAAATCATTCTTTAGTTGGTGAGCATTTCCCTTATTCTCGTAACCTTAATGTGTGATTCAGGGGTGATAATGTAAGGAGAAAGTGGATGCTGATCACACTTGAGGTCAAATGGCTAACATGCTGTGCAGTAGATCGCTGTTTCTCAGTTGTGAGAAGTTGTCTTGTGGTTCTTATTCCAATTTTAGTTTTGTCCCTCTTTATTTCCTTTGCCTCGTACAATGTAGTTCATTGTATTCTTGTCTGAAATAGGCTGTTCAAGTATTTAGGCAGAAAGTTTGATTAATTCATACCCTACAGGAAAGTGTTGGTAGTCACAGATTATATTGTGAATTTATTGATATTTGAGAAAGATAATATTGATCTTGATATTATGATATTAAATGATATTTGTACTTACCTCTAATATTGCAATTGCAGTTAACCTGAACGTCTAAAATATGCTCCACCATGATTATTCGGTGGACAGTTTTTATATTTTAGATGTACTGTCTGTACCAATTGAATTTTTTATCAACAGTTTTACTTTGAAGTAACAATTTTCTTAAATAATAAGTTTTATGAGTTTAAGGTGAGAAAGAACAACTGTCTTACAAAATATTCACCTTGGCAATCATTGATTTAAAAATGAAAGTAATTTTCTCTAAGCATACATGTCTATTTTCTATTTGTAGTAATTTTCTTTATCTATACCTGAAGTAACCTTTATCCCTGGAATAAATTATTCCAGCATGCATGTTAAGTTATCTTGATGTCTGCGTTTGTTTTCTTTCAGCCAAAGGTCTCCGGCCTTTCCGACATTATTGTTAGTACAACTCATCCTCAGGCTCTGTGTGTGTCTTTCTTCTTATGTGCACAGACCTTAGTTTATGAAATGCATATTAACTCGTTCAACTTTCTTGCAGCAAGGACAGGGGCTGTCTCTCTTTACCAACTTGATACAAGACTTCAAGACTCTTGCGCTAGGTCCTGAGGTCTGTACACATGCGATACTTTTTTTCATTCTCTTGCCTTGATGTCTTGATGGTCTTTGATCTTTTTCCACAGGCGGCAGAGCTTAGTCACTCCAAAGGATAATCTGTGGGTTGTGCTCACCCCTGTCCCCCCACACCCCCTCACATTTTGTCTTAGAAAATTAACACTAGTCAGCAGGAAACTGGCATTGAAAAAAATCTCAGTCTTTAATTAACATTGTCATAATTCTTGACTTCATCTTGGACTTACTGCAAAAAAACTCCTTTTCTATGCAATGTCACAAATCAATTACTGTCTTGTTGGACTTGTGTCATGATTGCCAAGAGGTGCACTGTTGCTAATGACCTGGCCAAAGAACATATTGGGAAACAGTTTCTGCCCAATCTTCCCCACACACCTTGGGTCAGTTTGCACTGATGCATCTGTTTTTATTCTGTAACCTCTCTAGTCTGTATCCTACAGTGAATCACTCCACTACTTTAAGTGCCTAACTCCAAGTCTTTATCTTGTCTTCTTATGACTTAGTTGCATATTAAATGGTAATTTTTGTTTTTCCTGGAGCCTGCCTTGAACTGCACAGTTTTGTTTAGTAAGTGTACATCAAATATTACTTCTTCATTGTTCTTTCCCCCAATTTTCAATAATTTTATCCCAGACTTGAATTTTAATGTGTAAGAAATTTCTTTCTGGTCCTTTGAATTCTGTCCAGTGACCCTCTGAAACTCCCCTTTTTAAATTCTTCATGATACCAATCCTCTGCTCCTATTTTCAATTCCTAAAAAATCTAAACTTGATTGAGTTAAATTATCTTGGAGCCATGCATGGCTTGGTTGAAAAACACACATAAACTTCTTTGGAAGTGATGTATCTTTGGCAAGCACCTGGTTTTTTTTTTGTTTTTTTTTTTTGACATTTTGTTCATTTCCTCAAAATTCAACCTCACTAGGGATGCATTGCTGCTTTAATTGGCTCTACCAATCCTATTTGCCACTGCCTCTGTCTGTTAAATTAAAACTTTTTTGCTATGGACCTTAAACTTCAATCTAAACACATGACAGTAAATTAAAAGTTATTATTCATACCGGTAAGTAAAGCCTCTTTAGCTTTGCATGGTTAACTCCTTTAATGTTAAAATGTTTGAAATAGTTAATACATGTCAGTTTTGTGTTAAAAGAAAAAATGTCATAAATTCTCATGAACAGCACACGTCTGTCCTTGTTTGACAGTATGGTAAAATTTCAAATATTAGAACTTAAAAATAACCATAAATTTAAACTTTTCTATTATAAAGAAAAAAATTAAAATAAACTAAACTTATGATAACTAGATGTGCATTCATTTGCCCTTAGAGAGGCAAATCATAGTGGATCAATTTCCTTTTTTGATATTTTACTGAGCAGTTCCCCCTGGTTGGTGTTAAAAATCTGTTAATTGCCTTTGGCACCCTGTCAGTAAACAATGCAAGGGTGTCTAGGTTTGTGATATATAATTACCATGAAAATATAAATCCTGTAATCTATATGTAAATATGTGTTAACCAAAGCATCCATGCTGCTTTTCAATCAGCACTTGTTTATTTGCTTTTAAAGGATTGGTGAGAGCATTATATTTCTGTTTTTAAATTTATTAAGGTTACTGTCAGTAATTACTGACTATTCAGTTGGTGACTTTTTTTTGTTTTGCTGATTAGTCCTTGTGGCTTGATGTATACAGGCTAATCCAATGTTTCTACATCATCAATTACTTCTGATTAATAATTTATTGAATGTGTACCCTGAAAGTTTTAGGCTTTGCAACAAAAACAACTGTCAATAGAATTTTAATTGTTGTTTTTTTTTTAATTTGCAATTAGCTGAAAATATTTTTTAGCCTAGGACTTTTCCCAGAGAAACTTGTGTTTGCAAGTTCTTTTATCACTTTGAGTACTAGTTTTTATTAAGGTGCAAAATGTTAAAAAAAAGTTTTGTGGAGTGTCTGAGTGTTATTTTGAGTACATTAGAATCCTAAGGGGGGAGGGGAGGGGGAGCAGAGGGTTTCTACTGAGCTTAACTAAAAAAAAAAACCCTAAAATGGTTTTTGTCTGATGAAGATACGGTGTGTATGATTTTTTTGGCATAAAACTTTTTTGTTTGGAAACTAAGTGCAAGCAAATGAAAAAACTTCCAAGTAATTGTCGCTTTAATTTAATTGAAAGAGACAGGCTAAAAAATTAGTTTAATTTGAGCCTTTCTAAAGTTTACAGAAATATTATATTGTTGGTTTATGCCCCAAGGCCTTTAACAGATCTATTTAGAATAGAAAGGTTTGAAATTCAAGACTCAATTATGTAATTTACATTTTGAAAGCACATGACAACTTTAGAATTTCAGTGAAAAATAATTTTATTATTTACCCTTTCAGTTAAGTTTATTTTGATTAGGGAATGAATTTTTCAAATTGCTTTGTCTGGAAAACCCATATCATTAATGGTATTTTTGTTCTCAAGAGTAGTTTTGTGTAGTGTCTTATGGATGGTATTGGAACAGTTGTGTAAGAATCAAAAAGTTCTCTCTCAATCGTTTTTTTCCCTTTCAAGCTGGTTTAATTATTTTTGCTCTCTCTCTTGAAAAGAAATATTGATTTGGTTGAAACTTTGTCCTTCCCGTCATGAACTTTTCAATTTTACTTGTTGATCACATTATCCCATTTTAATAAAATGTGATTTAAGTGTTGTCAGGATGACATCTGTAAGTTAAAAAGTCTCTAGTTTTTTCCCCCTGCTTTAACTTTGTGGTGTTTGTGCATGATATATGTCAAAGAAGTCCTCATCTGCTTGTAAACTGGCTTCATATGGTCACAAAAACCTGATATGTTACATTATGTAGAATCTGAATGCATCAGCCATGAATTTCTTTTGTATTGAATTTATTTTTCCACATCCAACCTTTGAAGTGTATTCTAAAGTGCTCTTCAGAAAGGTCATTCCCAGTCTCACTCTTCTTTTCTACACTCGCTCCAGGTCTTTCTTTCAGAGGACTTAGAATTTGTAGCATAGCCTGTTTTAATGACTAAATGTGGAACAATTTTGTTGTAAAAAAAAAATCTAAATTTGTTGGTAACATGTTCCTTTAATATCGTGGTGGTGCTTCTTTTATGCTCAAAACAGTTTCTTGCTTCAACTTTAATAATTTTCCTAAACGATTCAGAAATTTCAGGCAAAGAGGTGAAAGTGATCTCATAGGGAAACTATAAATAGTCTTGTTGTATTTGTCAAAGCTGTGTATAAATACAAGGCATTGGTCTATTTGAAAATTGCTATATTGAAAAATAATTTTTGGGAACATGTAGTAATGATGCATCTGTGAGAGCATGTTGTACAGTTCATGTTGAGCTATAGTATTCTAGTTGATAGTTTTACAGGCAGTGTGGATGTGAAATCTCCTTGTTTTAAATCTAAAGAAAGGACTGTTTGACATTTCTTTTTGATCCAATCCACCTGAACCTCACTTGGGGGCCTGAATGCATTTCATTTCAAATTTTAATATCCTCTTGACTACAAAACACTATTACTCTGTTCAAGGGCTTTTATGGAGTGGGAAATTAAGTTTTAGCTACAATGATTCCTGGCTACTCTAGACCTGGAGTAAAAGATTGCAGAAATGGGTATGATAATTACGTTAAAAAAAAGAAAAATGTGCAGGATAATATACCTGCTTCATAATTTGAAAGTTCTTAGTAATATTTCTGCATTTATTTTTGTCTACTTCTACTGAGCTTTGGCTTGTGTTTTACTAGTTGCAGCAGTTTTTTGTACTCAGCTTAAGCCTAATCCCAGGATTGAACTAACTCACAAATCTTTATTCTTCTCTACAAAGTTGTATTTAATGAAATTTTGTTTCATGATTGCACAGAATAACAGGAATTAAGTTTGACAATCTTTGCTTTGAGAATTCCTTATGCGGCAGTAATTAAATTATTGTATTATGCTCACTGAGGTTGTGACCAAAGTTATGCATCATTTATATAATATTTCAATCTACAAGGTTATCCATAATCTCTATTAATTTTATTAACTACTACCATAAGGGATGTCTTTGAATTAGGACTTTTCTAGTTCAATGTTCCTTCTGTTTCAATAAGATGTCACAATTAAAACTTTCCAAGTGTTTCATCGGTTAGTTTTGAGATATCAAGTAATTGTATAGAAAATTGTTGAACTCATTAATATTAATGTTGAGTTTGAAATCATCAATCATCACACCCCAAGTGTTTTATTGTCTTTGACTGAGAACTGAGATTTATTTTCACTGATTTCCTCTCATTTTCCACAGACGTGTAGCTATGTGTAGTAATAGTCTTGACAGTATCCAGCAATGGAATGGTGTTCTCCCTTATTTTAAGTACAACAGATGAAGGAAATCTTCAATCCTCTAGAGCAATCCCTTTATCTGTTAAATTTTTAAGAATTCCAAAGGATTTTAGGCAGTAACGAGAGCAACAATAGGCAGTAAATTTTACTGCTATTGCCTGAAAAGGAGGACAGTGAGTTATGAACTCCTTTTTTGGGTTTTAACTTGATCCTGAAGTATTTCCAATACCTCAAAAACACTGGGCACAAAACTACTAATATTTGTTGACTTTGTAATTACCAGTACATTTGCAGACTTTTTTTCATCTTATGATGGTTTTTAATTAGTGGGGAAAAAAGGAGTTCCTAATATTAAAGAGCTTCACTTGATATTTCAGTCTTAAAAAAAATATGAAATTATAGTTTAACATTAAAAATAGCATGAGAAAGAACAATAGTTGTGCTCAGCATGATATACACGTGTGAGGTGACATATTAATATTGTTTACTACAAACTAAGACTAAGTGACACAAGGCATCAATTCCCTGTGACATGTCAGTGGTAACAATTCAATTGCAGCAACAATTCATTTTTATGTAACATGAAAACTTTTCTTGAATATCTTGTTTTTCTGCTATCAGTTGTGGGAGTCACTTCGCTTTGAATGTGCTTGACTGATACCAGCAGCAAAATTCTGTTTCAACAGCAAAGATTTCCATAAAAATTCTCTGTGTAAGATGAGGTGTTCTGTTGTTGTGACTTATTCTCACAACAGGGTTCAGCTACTTGTTTTAGAAGTTTGCAGCAAGACTTCAGTTGTCATGTGGACTTGTTGCTAAGAGTGTCTCCCCCTTAACTTCCTCTTCTGATGGTTAACACTGATGGTGATGATAATTGTAGTAAGCTGTAAAGAATGTCATCTGTGCAAAATAGTATGTGATTAAAAATGTAACATTTTGTAAATAGCTAAATGAATATAAAGGTATCAATTAAAAACATTTCTCATTAACTGACTAAATCTGAAGCTTTAGAAAAGCATAATTTGTATTATTTATTTATAGTAATAAATTATTCATAAAACAATGACCTTTAACCCAAGAATAAATGATCTGTGTAAATTAAAACACTGGTTATTAGAAATATAACAGAAAGTAAATAAACAGCTACCAGGAAAGATAAAGTCACTCACAGTGAGATCAATTACTAGATGAAAAGTGAAATAATTTGAAACAATTAGCTTAAAATTAATGATAAATTAAGTTGATTAATTACAGTTAGTTACCACTGTTTAATCCAAAAATTTTGTTTAAGCAGTTTTAATTGCATTATGCAAGATGTCTTTTTTTTTCATTCTGCAGTAAATGATAAATCAAACTCAATGATAAAAGTAAAATAGTAGGGTTAACTTGAATAAATTTTCTGTTTAAATGCTTAGTTAAAATTTAGAAAAATTATACGGTGAGCAGGTAAGTTAAACTTATTTAGTAAATTAACACACACGGTGACTTGTGAGGTGTATTTTGTGGGTCCCTCTGGTACCATTTGGCTCATGAAACCTGGCTATTGCAAGTTAGTATGAAAACATGTTAATGGTTATCATCCTCCACATGTAAGATGGAAAGCTGATTAGTTGAGTGGAACATGCATTGTAGTGCTGGAGATCAGCAGTTTATGGTTGAAGTTGTGATTTTTTTAACCTAGACCAGATATAAATAAAAAGTTAATTGGGTTAGAAGTGTCTCGCAGTCCTACCACTCCCTTTTATTGTGCTTAGTGGCTCACGTGGAAGTATCTGGTGTAATTGGAGTTATCCCATTAGTTAAGAAATCTGCCCAAGAGAGAGTTCCTTCAAGATAGGGCTGCATTTAAGCAACCTTTGGTATTCAAAGAATTGTGAGAATAGTACCATTAGGAATGTTCTTTGAAAAGAGACTGACATAAATACTCTTTGATTTCAGGTGTCATGGGTGTGTCTTGTGTGTCAGAAGAAGCAAGAAATGCTCACTAAAACTGGTAACTGGTTTGGACCTGCAATAACTACCAATGAAAATAAACCAAGCAATGACTCTGACTTAAAATTAAGTGAGTTTAGAGCAATTCCAACAGAAGAAGATAAACGAGCTATGAGGCGACAAGGTTCCTTACACAGATCTGACTCTGGAAGGGGGAGTGGGAGACGAGCAAAAGGGAAGGATAGTGAACGCAATCGGTTTCGTAGGCCATCAGTTTCTGACGAGGAGATTGATTCACTTCATGAGACACCCCCTGGGAGCCCAGCTTACTTGAGCGACGATGAGTTGTACAGACCAGATGAAAATAAAGTAAGACGAAAAGTTGTAAAATTCAAGGGGCACGAAGAGCTAGATCATACTCCTCGTGGCCGTGCAGGTAGTGGAATGCCAAACATGCAGAGGGCCGGTCCCATGAATCAAGGACCAGGAAGAGGACTGGCAGTACCTGGTCAAGCTCAAGGAATGAGATCAGGACAACCTCAGCAACCCCAGGGACCAGGTGTCAGACCAGGTGGTCCTCCTGGTGGACCTCATGGTAGGGGAATACATGGTCCAGGCTCTCAACCAGGAATGCACCCGAACTTTCCACCTCAGCAACAGAATTCAAGCTTTACTCCAGTTGGACATCCAGGAAACTCTTCTGCTGCACGAGGAACTTTGCCAGCTACTCAGCAGCAGGTTCCCAGAGGAGCAATTGCTCCAAATCAACCCAGACCTGGTTTTGGGATGAGAGGGCCTCAACAACAGCCAAGATTTCCAGTACCCCAACAACAAGCTGCAGGTGGTTATGGCAGAGCTGTACCACCAGGAAGCCAACCTGCTGCTCCCTTTCCAGGACAAGTTGATGGAAAACCTGGTCATGGAAGAGGGGTTCCACCTGGCCCCCAACCTGGCAACCATCTGGGTCCACGGCCAGGAGGACCACCTGTTGTTGGCCATCCGTCAATGGACAATAGGCCAAGACAACCAGGAAGTTTTCCTCCAAATCATGTTGGAGGCCCCCACCCAGGGCTAGCTAGCCCAAGACCTGGTGACCGCATGGGACCCCAGCAGAGTCCAAGAACAGGTGCACCACCAGGAATGACTCAGATGGGGCCAAGGATGACTGCCAGTGGGCAGTCCCGTCATGGAATGCCAGCTGGTCAACAGAGTGGCCAGCCTCAGCATCCAGGTCAGTTAGGCCCACCAAGGCTAAATTTGGGTCCTGATCCAGCAAAAATGCAAATGCAGTCAGGGTCTCCAAGGCAAGGACCTCCACTGGATCAACCTCCTAAGGGCCCATCTGGCTCTCCTCTTATGGGACCTGATCAAATGAGAGGTCCAATGAGTTCACCAAGGCTAGGTACTCCGAGAAACCATGTAGGGGTACCCCAGCCAGGTTCAAATCCAGAGCAAGGAAGGGGAAAGGTAGATGGCATGCCTGATCAAACAAGGGGGCGATTGGGACCATCTCCACAGGAGCAAAGACTAGAACAGCAACCAAGAGGACCCTATGGAAATCAACCACAGGGCTCTCCCTTGGACTCCTCAAGGGGCCAGTATGGACCTTCACAACCAGGTCGTCCTGTAGACCAAGGAAAGCTAAGGGCTAGTTCTGTTGATAAAGGTCCAATGGTAGATCAGTCAGGGAGGCAACATTTGCCTGATTCTAGAAATGGATTTAGTCCTGAGGCTCAGAATGTTGGAAGTCAGAGATTTCCGGAACAGCATGCTCAAGGTGCACAGCAAAGGTCTGACAGCAGAAATGTCCATACACATGATAGCTCCATGATGAATGGAAGAATGGGACCCTCCTTCTCCAACAGACAGGAGAGAATGGAGTCAAGACCTGTCACAGGTGATTCTGAACAGCATGGCATGCTGGGCCAGTCACCAAGACCAACAGACAGACCTGGATATCGAGAAGGTGTCAGATCATTTGATGAGGAGCCAGATGGCAGAAGGAGCCCTCAGAGGAGAATCTCACTTGATGAGCCAAGAGACAAGGTAAGCATTCTTACACAGAGTCAAAGTTGATGAATACAAATTTACCACTGTAGCAGATTTTGAAAAAGCTTAATTATGAGTATAATTTTTGTAGCATTTTCCCTTTGTCAGAACACAGAAAACTCTCCATCTTGCCATTACAATAAGTGAACACTCAAACCAGATTTTGGAACTTGCCTTAGTCCTTTGTATTATCTTCAACACTGAAACTATACAGTGGTCCACTCGTTAGTTAATGTATCACTTCCCTTTTCAAGTGACTCTTAAATTATGAGTCATGCCATTGTAATTGGCACTATAGTAATGAGCAAAGAATGGCGACTTCTCTGGAAATTCTTGTTGCAGCACAGTACTAAACATATAAGCAGTAGAACCTAGCAATGAAATGGATAAGCTCTTTAGGTTTGCTTTATATGAAAATAATGATTTCACAGAGTTGACACAAAATGAAAGTTTTGATAGGCATATGGACAATAATTTATTGTGCTGAAACTTGCAGTACATTGGTTTTCTTCATTGCATTGCAACAAATTTGATGTTTAACTTCAGGCCAAGCTGTACTGTCATATTTTGCTTTCATTTCAGTTGGTAGAAGAATTAATTTACTGTAGAGGTAGTAGAAAATACCTAAATGTGATCTTTCTGAACAAATTTTTCACAAGAATTCAGTATGATGGTTAATTTTTTGGAAGGAAAGTTATGAAACATTTAAAAAAATTAATGTTAACAGAGGTATACATTATGGATCTGAGCCCCTGGCTTAAAATCAAATTTGTGAGACAAAGGTTGCTGTTTATCTGCAAATGTTTGTGTTACTTTGATTTTTAGAAAGCTTTCATACGTCATTCTCTACAATCTTGTAGTTATTATTTCATAGTTTTTTGGGTGTGAGGTTAGAATTTCTTATCATATCGCAAAGGTTTTCAACGATCTGAAGGAACTTATTTCTAAAGAATAGCTTCCTGTCCAACCTCGTTTTGTATCCATTTCTATAATTATTATAACTGCTTATTTTTGTTTTTGTAATGAAATTTTTTTCCATTTATCATAGACAAATTAATTTAAGTTTGAGGAGAAAATCCCTTGCATGTCTCCAGTAGGTGTAGGAGATTGTTTTTATTCCTTGGTACACAAATGTACATAATCTCCAGATAAATATACATGAATATTTATGTTTCAGGAAGCAATTTAGGCCAAAGCATTTTCCTTAATCTGTATTCCACTAAAAATAATTTTTCCCAAAACCAGAGATATTTTATTTTTTTATGAAATTTGGAGTTGATAACTGATTTTTTGAAAATATTTTTTGTTTGTCTCCCATGAAATTCCATTTAAATTTGACTCAGGAGACAAGATTTTGTTTGTGAAAAGCTGTCGAAGCTCTCAGTTAAGAATTAAGTAATTTTGAAAATAAAATTTTGCTAAAGAAAAGCATTTATGTACCTAAAGGATCTTTCTAAGTGTTGTTCAATGTTGACCCTTAAATTGTTTGAAAATTTTGAGGAAATTAAATCACTTTGTTGTGATAAATATTTTATTTTCTGTGGCATTCTTTTGAGATCAGCTTGCTGGATTATGATAAAAAAATGTCTCAATACATGTAATTAAGTTATTCTTCAAATTAACATTCAAAAATGTGAAAGTATAAATTATTTATGTCCTTCAGTGCAGCAGACTTCTGTTGGATGGCTCTGATTTCAATGTTTATTAGATTTAATTTCATCCTCTTTCAGAATGTTTCTGGTAGGAATGATATCTTAAATAATTGTTTGTTGAATGTACAGTAATTTTTCCTGTGGGTGATATGGCATGCAGATTTTTTTCTGTTTTTGAGAAGATGTTGAAGCTTTGAGCTTACTTTTGTTTGTTCGGTTCCCCACAGAGTAACTTGTTCTTTAAAGATGAGCCACCTTCAATGCAGGATCGAGAGTCTTTGGGTGACAGATTTGTCAGTGCTCTTTCTATTAAGAAATCTACTCCTCCATCCTCTTCCTTCTCCTCTTCTCCTTCCATGCCTATGGCGCCTTCTGCTGTTGTCAGTAACCTTGTCAGCTCTGTCAAGAAATCTGAAATAATTCCTGCTGTTAAGACCAACACAGACCCCTCACAGGTTTGATGTTGAATTATCCATTTCTGGAAATTTTTAGAATTTAATTCATGTAAGAAGTAATTCATAAAATCTTGCTTGTCGCTGATCAGCTTGACAAGTAGTCTAGTTACAAGTACATGTACATCTTACAAGTTTTCATCATTTTTATTCCTACAAATGAGTTACTTTTTTAAAAAATAAGTTGAACTGACCAAGCTTGTTCTCTTGGTATGTGTTGAGTACCTCTGGGTTTAGTATCTCTACTATAGGCAGTGAACTTTGTAATGCTTAAGGTGGAGTGACACTCTCTCTCTCTGGCTGTCATCTCTTTGTTTCTTAACCATGAGAATGTGTTACTTGTGTACTTCAATAAAATCTTCTTTTGATATCTTAAATATCAGACAATTTATTTTGTCAACAAATCTTGAGCTTTAATCTGACATTTCTGGATCTGCCATTTGATCAACTCAGAAAAGTAAATCACAATCAATACATTCTATTTCCTTACAACATGTGTACTTTGCTGACTGACATTTGTTGCTTGTCTACAAGCAATTTTACAATGGTTATGCAACATGATGAGGCTAAAGTCCTTCGTGTTCCTGTGCTTGCGTTAAGTCAAATTACATAGTAGTCCATCAGGCAAAAAATAAATAAATAAATAAATAAATAGATATTAAAAACAAAAAAACCAAACCACAAGGCTCTGTACATGTCATGTCCTTGACTGAGCCTAAAGTACTTTTATCAAGTTTTCTGCAGTTCTAACTATTGAACAACATGGCTTTCACAGCAAGGAATTCCATCATGGTTTCTTAAGTGAGTTGGATTGGTTTGATAAAATAATATGTGAAACACTCCAGAATTTGTTTTGGAAGCTTTCTTTGAGTTTGCCAAGTGTGAGTCCTTTACAAAAAAGTTTTGAATTCTTGTGATTGTTGTAGGAAAAATTGCCTTATAAATCTTTGACACTTTTTATAAACATTGTGTGTTTTCTGCTTGCATGGCCGTTTACCCAGTTGGTTGCCTTGTAATTTATCTTTTATTGCATGTAAGCAGAAAGTGCTGTGATGTGCAGGGTACAGACAAGTCTGCAGTGAGCTTGATAAATAAGTGCATTTGTCTTATCCACAAGTGGAGTGGAACAGCATCCTGCTCAGTGGGATTATTAATACTCCTAGCTACTTCTTTCCATGGAACTGGGAAAATCTCCAGCCAGTTAAGCAACTTAGCTCAATTGCTAACCTGCCGTTTTTTTCATTTTTGATAAACTAACACCCCAATCAATAGAAGTGTAATGTTCCTTCTCACCCCATGCTACAGGACCCTGGATATATGCCCTGGCAGGAAAGAGCCAGTATAGTTAACCTAACCAAGTAATGGAAATTAGTGTCTAGATCTCATTTCCACAATTTTATGGTATATCTTTGATCCTCTTGAAAAGGAACCGCTTAGGTAAGAGCATGCTCATTTCCAGAACCGCGGTCGGTTATCAAGTTTAGTCAGCTTTATGAGATTAATTTATCCGTGTGGGAAGGGTTATAGTCTTGTTTTAGCCATGGAATGAATCTGACATCCTTTTCTCTTTCATTTTTAGACCTTTGTTAAGTGGTCTGCTCCTGATGAAGAAAACAAGTGTTTAGGTGAAGTGCTGCTCACAATAGACCCAAAATACAAGGGCTCATCAACTGGTAATGTTCATTTATTCATATCAACCTTTTATCCCTAAATAGGCATGATGGCCTCATGATTGGTGCACTCTACTCCAGATCAAGTGGTCTGGGTTCTAGCCCCGGCCGGGGATATTGTGTGTTCTTAGGCAAGACACTTAACTCTCACACTGCTTCTTTTCACCTAGGTGTTTAAATGGGTACCGGCAAATTTAATGCTGGGGGTAACCCTGCGATGGACTAGCATCCTATCTAGGGGGGAGTAGAAATACTCCTAGTCGCTTCATGCTACAGTAACTGGAGTTAAGCGCCGGCCTGATGGGCCACTTGGCTCATAAACAGACTTTACCTTACCTTTTTTATTCCTAAGAGCGACCAGCATCTAATTTCTCTCTACAGTGTCACCCCAGAGTCAAACATTAAGGTCAGGAGAATAAAGTAAATGATCACCAACTAAAGAATCTTTTGATTGTTAAACGAATTCTCCTTGGTAGCACCATATGAAATGTGAAGAGAGCAGCAAGGAGAATATGCATACTGATATTAGTATAGGTAATCATATGATTTCGAGTTCAATTTGGAATAAATAAGTACGAGTAAATTTTTTCAAAGACTAACAAAATTGCATGAGCCCCAGTGCAATTTGTGGTCTTTGAAAAAATTTACAAATGCTTATTATTCCAAATTGCACGAGAAAATCATGTGATTTTCTATTAATAATATACATGAAAAAATACGAGGTAGCTTCTCATAACTACGCAGAAGAAAAGCGCGCGCATCACGTGCAAAAATAATTTATTCAAACCCTGCAAGTGACATTGACCTTGACATTGACATTGACCAATCATTCTGACCAATCAGAATGTCTGGTTTGTTTCTTTCTTTGCACTGAATTAACTCTCTTCTGCACTGAATTAACTCTCTTCTGCACTGAGTTAACTGAAAACTGCATTCATCTTAACTAATCAGATCTGAGAAATTTTTTCATGTATATTATTAGGGTTAAAAGCGTTAAGTGACGTATACTACAAAAATATTGACATCAAGTGAAATTCACTCGTTATTTTAGATCCGTATGGTGCATATGGTCTAAAGGTGATTGGAGGAAAGATGACAGAAGATGGGAAACTGGGAGCTTTTATCACTGAGATTAGAAAGGGAGGCCCAGCCGAGAGACAAGCCAAGCTTCAAATAGGTACAGTTGTAATTTCTTGCGTTCTTTTAATGTCTGCAAGAGAGGAAGACGGCAATTTAGTAGACGGGGAAAGTGAACAAATGTTATAAAAGATGCTCATGTGTACAACCGGCTGACAACTCACGAGCCTTTTTTGTCTGCTTGTGTCTATCTGTCTGTCTGTCTATCTGTCTGCCTGCCCTCTGTCTTTGATGTCTGTATGTCTACCCGTCTTTCCTTTGGCTAATCTGTCCGTCTGGTAGTCTGTATGCCCAGTAGTCTGCCTCGCAGTGTGTGTCTGTTTATCTGTTTCTCTGTCCATTTGTCTGGTAGTCCGTGTGTCTGATAGTTTGTCAGTCCATTTTCCTGTCTTTCTAGCCGTCTGTCTGTCTGTCTGAAGTGTGTCTAGTTGTCTGGTAGTCTATCAGTCTCTGTGGCCGTCTATCTGTCTGTCTGTCGGCAGTCTGTCTGTTTGTCAGTCCTTCTATGGCCTTTCTGTCTATGTCCATTTGCTTCCTTGCTATTAACTAAAAGTGATGTATCCCCAGGTGATGAAATTCAGGACTGGAATGAACAGTCTTTAGTGGACTGTACGTTTGAGGAAGTGGTGGAAATTATCAACTCATCCATGGAAGACAATCAAGATAGCAACGAACTTCACCTCATTGTGTGTAGAGATAAGTGAGTACAAATCCTCATTACCTTGTTATTGCATAGTCTGCGAGGACAGTAAGGAGAGTAAAGGAAATAATCAGGAGGGGATTTACTTCTGAAAGAACAGAAAATCTTAGATGTAATTTACAAAGATGTCTGGTTTTCAAAGAGGGTAAGTAGAAGAAAAAAAAGATGAAGAGTTCGAGAAGACTAATACAGGCGAGTTTTCCTTAATATTTTTTGCTGCAGGAGTAAATTTCCAGCTAGGACCTCCCAGTCACCCGATAAGTCACCAAGGGGGCAAGAACAAAAGAGGGAATCTCCTAAGCAGGTCCCTACCAGAGAGTCCCCTGTGAAAAGAGACCGGATGTCCCCCTCTTCAGCTCCCGTGTCACTTCAACAGGACAGAAAGCCACAGGACACCAGAAGGGAAGAGACCCCAGTCGTACCAACACAGAGGGAGAATGGGCTTATGTCAACTGGTAGAAGTCAGTCTTCTTCTTACGAACCACCCACAGGTTGGAAGCATTGTCATTCTATCCTCGCCTGGTCTGTGTTTATCATTGTCATTTCCTGTTGGATTCTGTCATTTTGTGACCCTATTAGGCAAATTCTTGGCGAATCTCAAATCTGGTAAGATTTCCTACTTCCCTGAAAATCGAGTCCGTGAGACTAAAAGAAGAATCCTATATCTGACTCAGGATTTGAAAGGAAGTTTTCCTTAAAATTATAAAAAGATGTTTAGGTTCTATGCCTCATCTTTATGTCTTTAAAAGTAAACTGTTCAGGTATTTGTTTTTATTAAAAAACAATGAAGCCCTTTCTTGTTGTTTAAACGAAAAAAACCTCAAGCGGTATGAGAACTTAATTTTGCCATTGCCTTTTTGCAGAAATAAAACTGGTTACAGATCAACGAGATCCCGCTACAGCTTTTTTCCCGCCAAAATAACGCGGCTACATAATCGTGCATGTGCAGATTTGCACTTTTTCACGATTGAAGAATCACTGTCCAAAGTCTGAAACTGTCTGAACATACTAACATAACTGTTCCAATTTATTTCCTTCGTCAATTTCTGGAGAAAATTTCTTCTATTTGTGTCTCTTTTTCTACAGATGACGATTTCTTCTTCGGAGGCGGTCCTTTACCGGATGAAAAACCGAACAAGTCTGTCAAACAGACTGGTGCAGGACAAGCCCAAGGACAAGGACAAGGACAAGGACAAGGAAAAGGATCCAGAGTTACAGGTCGTATACAGGTACGTGTGAATCCTTAGTTGTAAGAGTAGTCGCGAATAGCGCATGCTCATTTTGTTTTTTTTGTTTTTTTTGTTTTTTTTTTTTTTATGTGAGCCAGGAAAACTCTTCTTGTGTAACAGCAGTCAAATGCTGGGCATGCGCAAAAAGCTCAATTTTGGCCGGCCGCGCGCCAATTTCCCGCGCAAAATTTTCGTCTTAAAGTTAAAAAATGGCAAAATATGCGAAAGAAAATTAAAACGTTCCTTGAGATCTGTAAAAGAAAAAAAAATTGAGAAAATACGAATAACTAATGACTTTCCGACGAGAAAGCGTATGTAGTCCTACTCAAGTCTTCATCTTTCTCGACGGTTTTTTTTTAAACAAAATTTATTAATATAATATTGCACTCTTTTATCTTTAGTTAAAACTGTTTTATGACGAGGATGCTGCAAACTTGAATGTAACAGTGGTAGGAGCTGATGGCCTGGCTCCTAAGGAGACCACCACTCCACCTAACCCTTATGTTAGGATATACTTTCTACCGGATAAGAGGTATGTTGTCATATTTTGTCTTGCAAGAAATGTCGAAGCGCTAATAATGAAGGCTTGTTCGCTGGCTACTGACGGTGGAGATATTATTTTTTCTAGCCGATTACTTCAGCAACATTTTTTTCCAACACACTTTGTCTTTTAGCATGCAGAGTAAAAGACGAACAAAGACAGCGATGAAGTCTTTCAATCCCAAATGGAATCAGACTTTTGTTTATCCATGCAGGCCGCAGAAGGTAAATTCCCCATCATTTGTTGTCCTGTAGCAAAAATTCAACATTTTTTGCAGTTCTCTTTTGAGAGAACTGTCTATGTTGAGATTCTTAAACCCTCTCCACCTTTGACATCAGTTTACACGTTCTGCACACTGTTCTCTATGCATTTCGTATGGTATTGACAAGGAGAATCTAATTATCAATCTAGAGCTTTTTCAGTTGGCGATTATTTCCTATCTACTCAAGAGCTCAATTTGTGATTCAGACCTGATATTGTACAAAGAAATTCACTGTTGGTCGCTCTAAGGGCTTTTAGGGCTTACTGATTCAGTTTCTCAAGGCCTCAAATATCTTTTAGGGTGTTGGAAGTTCTCTGAAACATTCTTAAGGTTTTTTTTTTTCCAACGGAAATTTTTTTCTTTTGCAGTTCAGTGGCCGTGCTCTCGAAGTAACCGTATGGGATTATGATAAAGTTGGTTCAAGCGAGTTTATCGGGGAGGTATGGGATCTGTTTTATGATTTTGAATAGCTCTCTTACCAGTCGAATATGTTTCAAATCTGTACAATTGATTCACCTCGTTTAATGAAACATGTCGCTCTTGTTATTTCCAACAAGGTGTTCTAAACTTTGTCACAAATTACCTAGTGTTCATGTCTGTCAATCTCGACCAGGTTGTTTTGAGCATGACAGAGGCAAACCTTGACGGTAATGGGTACTGGTACCCACTCAAAAACCACGAAGACGACAATGACCCTCTGGTGCCGCCCACTCCTAATCAGTCCCCTCACAACTCATTCAGATTTAAGGGTGCGAGGGGAGCTGGTGAACCAGGATCCGATCAAGGTATGGTATAGTTACTACAGGCCAAACAACTGCGCAGATAATTGGAAAGTTCCCTTTCGAGTTTTTTGCATGTGCAGCGGCACTAATCATTGTTTTTTCTCTCTCTCAGCTGGTCCGACCGGTTATGGCAGTGATTACGAGGAAGAGTCGAGGTATACTCCAAACGGACCGGTAACTAGCTCCCAGCCTCCATTCAACCCACCCGAGAATGACCTGCTCAAGCAACAGTTGATTGATCATCATCGAGACAGTCCCAGACCTCCGTTCAGCCAACAACAGATGGTACAAGGTAGGACGGAAATTTATGCCCATAATTGCGCATAATGACGCATAATCAACACAGCACTACACACTTTTAATCGTAACTCGATTTCTCAAAACGCGAACATTCGTTTAAATTTCTTAAGATAGGTTCAGATTTCTGTGAAAAGGAAACTTAGAGAGTAAGAGATTAAAAACAGTTTCCCTGGTGCGTTTAGCTGGAAAAAAGTAATTTTTTAAATCATTTAATTAAAGCCATTAACGTAACTGATTGTTTTTCAGAAGTTAATACTAAACTCTCTCTTTGTACCAGGATTAAGTAAAACAACCTAACCAGTATTTTAAACATTGTACACTGTCCAATTGTTCATCAACTAGAGCAGTGTGCCCATTCAAAAGAACGAACACTGAAGATCCTCGGTCGAAGTTTGTTTCTTAACTTTTTCCTGCATGTTTTAATCTTCGTATAAACTTCACTTGAAGCGTACACTGCCAAGCCATACCATACGTCTCCAAACCATCCGTCCCAGTCTCCTCAGGCAGTCTCTAGCTACCCCCATTATGCTGCTGACCCCAACAGAGTGCCGGCGCAACAGACTAGACCAATGCCTCACCAACATGGACCTGGTCGCTTTCACGACGATCGCATGTCCCCGAGTATGCATGGTTATACCTCCCCCGGAACGTATTCCCCTGGTAGAATGTCCCCTAGCGGAGGCCCCGGGGCTAAAAAGTCCCGCATGTTGCCTCAATTGCCTTCAGGACGCGAACCTATGGGTAAGCTGACTGAAAAACACCAAAGCATGCTTCGCTCACTTTTCCACAGCACAACTATCTACGCCGCACTATACTGCACTGTTACCTTTAAGATAAATATGTAAACTTTGTAAAGATAATTTTTGTGAAAATTAATTGAACAAGGTCTGAACAACATATCGTCTTGGTGAGAGTAGTTTTGAAAGGGAATGTTCACGTTTAATTTTTCAAGAGAGAGTTTCGGTGGTGGCCGATAAAAGAAAAAGAAATTGATGTTAACTCTAAGGAACAGTTAAAATGAGTATTTTGTGACAGCTCCTCAACAAGTTTGTTCAAAATTACTTATAACGTTACCCTGATGAAGACAGGAAATATATAACTGAACTCTAAGAGCAACATTTTCGAAACGATGGCAGCTAATAAACTAAAGCAACTGTAATTTCTAAGATAAAGCCGTTTTAACCACAGACGAAGAAGAGCGGGCCCGAGCTGTTAAACAGAAATTAAAAGATGTGGACCCTGCAAGAGCTAAATTAGTCGTTGGCGGCGCCAAAGGCCGGATGGGATATGGTCAGGCCCCAGACTCCGTGTTTGCACAAAACGAGGGCATGTATGACCCGGGCATGTCCCCGCGACCTGGGCGCCAGTCTCCGAGGCCCATGGCCAGAACGGGGAGTCCGTCGTCCTTACCAGGTCATAAGCATTCTCTGGGGATGCCCCCACATCATCAGGGGCTACACACTCCTCAAGGTAACACTCCTTGATATAATAGTTAAATTTGCAAGCAACCATAAAGGGATATTATTAAGTTTACTGAAGCGAATGAGTGATTCTTTAAAGATTCTGTAGCAGGCTAATTAATTGAATACTAATGTGACTGTAAACAGCTTTTGCTTGAATCGTGAACCATTCTACTTCACTTAACAACAACACCAACATTACGAAACCAATAAAAATACAAAATAAAACCGTAAAAACCAAAAAAAAAATAAGATTTAAGTTGTGTCTGAGTTTCACGTAAACGTTTAACGGGGATACTTTAAAAGAAGAACGCTTGTAGATAAAGCTATTTATTAATCTGAGAATATATCGATCAGTTCTTTTTTAAAAACAGTTATGGCTAGAAAAAGGGGTTAACAGAGAGAGAGAGAGAGAGATATTCATGAATTTGCTGTGGTAACCTTTGCCTTTCAGTGCACACCTAGGGCATCAAAGATCGTTTGTTGTTAAATTTAACCCTGCTATATTACTGTTGTAGACCGCATGTATTCACCTGACATGCCACCGCATGACCATGGAGTACCGTATGAAAGTCACAGACGACCCCGTGAGTACACTCATCAATCACTCTAACATGCAACGGTTCTAAACCATTAACATCCTAAAGCAGTTTAACACACAACATAAACATGGTTATTTAGGCTCCTCATTCAACTTTTCGCTTTATTTTGATCAACTAAGTTTGAACGAAATATAAGATTAAGTCAATGTTTACCGGAGGAATCTCCTCGATATAACTGAATCAAATCTCGTTACTTGATAAAAACTCATTCAATACACATTTTCCAAACAGACCTCGCTATCACCTGCGTTACAACTGAGTTTCAATCATGATTTTAATCCGAATCATTTCATTTTTTTTTTTCCATTGGTCTTCTTCATCTGGTAAGCGTCTACTCTCAAGATCCAACTTTGTCTTCATTTCGCATGATGAAAATCGTTATAAGACCACACATCGATGAAAATCTGAGTTTCTGAATGAAAAAAGGGAAAAAAGCAGGCAGTCGAAAGAAGAAATGAATCTTTTCTCCACGCACGTTGCCCTTTCCACATACGCACCTTCTAAAAAAGCGCGAGGACAAACGCGTCCTGCGGAAGAGAAGAAAGAGTGAGCTCTCCACGAGCGTTTCCTTCTTCTTATGCGCTTCCTAAAAACCCGCGCGTTAGAGACGAGGAAGCTTGCTTTCTACATATTTTCATTTGTTTTTGTCGACAGAGGATGGAAGGCGGCGCCGTAACAGTTTAAGCAACTTGCCAAACCTTGACTCAGAAAGCGAGAGGCCAAGAAGTCCATTCCCGATCCCGAGTCCAGTCCCTCTCGGTCACGGGAGAAGTCAGAGCAGCTCAAGCTTACACGATAAAGATCGCGGGCTCCCAAACGGTCAGTTTCTTATGGAATGATAAATTCTCGATACTTTTACCATGTTGTCCTTGTTGCTTCAGTACGACGCATAGACACATTGAATAAGAAACTTAAGCCACATTTTCATTGTCAAGTTTCCCTCATCAGATGCATTTATCGAGAAAAATGTTAACCATGTTCTTTAGCACAAAAAAGTCTAAACGACGCCTGCTGGAAATAACTCACACATGAATAATTACTATGACCCCAACAGGATTTCTTTGAAAAGTTTCCTTCGCAAGCCTATATTCACCAGTATGTTTCGTCCTTTCTAAAGTTTATTCTGGACAAACCTTGTTGTCGAAAAACTGACTTGTTAGTTTGGATGTAAGGAAATGGGAAAGGAAAAATTGTCATATTTTCCACCTAAGCTGTCAAGGAAAAATTTTGCAAGGAAAACTTGTGAGTGTTAATATGCTGTGCCCAGATGTAAGTGTAAAGACACTTTTTCTCTTGGCTTGTCTCTCCATTTCTGCTTATGTGTATATTTTTACTTGTAACGTTTAATCACTTGGTCAGTTCAGAAACATTGAATCTTCTTTTTGCTTCAAATGCTAACACTAACCGTTCTCGGTGAAAATGAGGTGAGTTCAAACTTCTTTACTTTGTCTCTTCTTTCCTCACTTTTGGCGTCTGAATGCTGTTTCTCTGCTTCCTTCTACCATTTTGTAATGTAAGCATACTTACAATTTTTTCCCCACCTCTCTCCTCCACAGGCAAACTGCTGGCTCGTGAAGAAGCTCGTTCCGGCAGTCTTAATAATCTTCATGTCTTCCCTACAGGCAGTTACATCAAGCCATCCCGCGGGACGGGACGTAGCGAGAGCTTTGGCGGAAGTGGGAGGAGCAGTCGGTCGTCATCTATCGCGAGTGACAGGAGCGGAAGCTTGAATAGTATACCAGGCTCGGTTACTAGTGTTGAGAGTAGGTAAGTGCCACTGACTTAGGTCTGCAGGCTCGGGGTGTGCCATTTTCGTAATTTTTGCGTAGTTACACTTTTTTTAACTTAGGAGAGACACTTTTTCTCTCTCTCCTACGCACGCGTTAAATATTTCATACCTCTTTTTTATAGTTCTTACTGATTCCCCAAAGATGAGGTCAGACTTAAACTTCTGTGTAATAATTTTTTTTCCTAAAAGAGGGAAATCAATTTTTTTGCTAGTGTGATTTTTTCGGTCTTGTTTATCGCTCGCATTGTCAGCTGATCTAATTTCTCTTTCAATCAATTTTAAGCTCGTCAGTCCTCTGCGGTAGTCATGAATAAGAAATGAGAAATTGTGAGAGCATGATTTCCACTTAACACCTGAAGTGAACTGAATTGACTCGGTGTAAAAAGAAGCCTGCATTTTCAACTGTGTGCCACCAATTGGTCATCATTTGTTTTTTTGTCTTAAAGGATACCATGAAAAACGCCGGTAATTACAAAAACCAAGTTAACAACTTTTTCTTAACTGCGATAAGAAATGCCCATAATTACAGCACACGAAATAGCTATTATATTATAAGCTTTGAAAATGAGTAAACCTCTTCGATCTAGCACTGCTGAAATTCCTGGAAGCCCCTTTGAGGTGTGGTTTTTGTCGAAACATTTTTCTTTGAATTTTTGTCGGGTTGCAGACTTTTATTTTGTCTAGTTAAGTTGGATCAAAGGCACGACACATCTGTTATGTTCCATGTTTGATTTCATTTCTAGAAAGTGTTTTTTAATATGGTTGATTGGATTCACAAGCAAGCGAAAGCTGTGGATGTGAAAACAGTTTCGTAGTTTTGATTAAAAAGTCTTGGAAGTGTTGAATTTGAAAACAGTAATGATTAGGGAATTTTTAATGAATATTTCCCTATTCATAGATTTAATTCTGGAGTAAGGTTACTTTTTCAGTTAAATTTCGTATGAATTTCCAAACATTAACCAGGATTGTGTGAGATGAATACATCCAGTCTGAAAACCCAACACTAGTTTTAAGATTCATTTGTCAGCGGGTTCGTTGTGCAAGCATTAAACGCCTTTCAAACGTAGCCAGCCCTTCGATGTTGCGACGCCTCCAGTTAAAAGGAAAAAAAAATCACTTTTAACGAGCTTTTGCAAAAGAACTTTAAGAGTAATTTTTGCAGACCTCAAGGAACTTTAGCGCTCCTTGGCGGACAGAATAAGGTGATTGATTGTAAAAATGAGTTTCAAATACCAGTTGGACATTGTGGTGTCTATAGTTACTTCTTTCAAAAATGAAATATTCAAATTAATTGTTACCGTAGTGGTGTTTTGTTTGGCACGATTGCCAGCTGTTTTATTTCAGAACCGATCAATAGACCTGACTGTCCTTCTCAGACGCCTGCTAAACATTACTTTTGAAACCATTCAGAATTCTGCTGGAAGAAGCGACTCGAGTCGAGCTCATGTCTTCAATCGAGCGAGTTTTTCAAACAGTTGCAACCCATTTGTGGGCACCTGTGAGGTACTTCACGGAATTTATTTTATCCTCTCGAATTTTATGTGTGATTTTTGAGGATATTACTCAATTCTTTTAAAAAGTCAATTACCTTGCGAAGTCGAACGAGTGCATTTCTGCTCAGAGTTGCACCGTGATACCATCTGAATTTTCGCTAATTTGCTTTAACTGTTCGGTTTTTTCTTTTTCATTATTGCTCTGGCAATCAAAGATAGAGTGGGTCAGTCTGTTTATTTACTTGCAAATGCTTTTCTGTGTTTTCCTGTCAATATTTAAGTAATCAAATCAAATACATCTTAAAGTTAACGAATTCCCAGCGAAAATAACTCCAAGATTTTAAAAAATGTACGCAGATAAATTGTGTTGATAGGGCGGCCAGAGAGTTTTCAAGTAGGGTCTAGTGTAATACTTAGTCGGTAGTAATTGGGTGTTTATACTTTTCGCTAAATTATGTTCTTTTTGTTTATGCTATTTGGCGCCTAGCAGTTAAGACGCATTATTTTCCACAGCCAAGGTCATCACTTTCTGATACTCCAATGCATACATTTCCTTTTTCAATCCTAGTTTCAATTTATCTCCGCTTAAGGCATTCCTGGAATATGAATAATTAATGCTCTTTGAGATCGCATACGTAAATTATGCATACATTATCGTGTTAATGAGATATTTATTAGCCATCACCTTTCAATCAACTAAGCGGCTTGTTCACGACTAGAGTGACAATTCACTAGTGCAACATGACGTTATCTGTGGGCCTAAGTACGCGTTGATTCTAACATGCTTATAAGTAACATTGGCGTGATGCACTTGAGTTTGAAAGTTCACAGCGGTAAGTCGTAATTGTGCGAGAATTTCGAGGCTGAAATGACAAAATTTTTTGAGGTGGTTGGTCAGGCTGTTAGAGCAAATAGAGATAGGTGAGGTTGCTCTCTATAGTATTAATTGTAGTCAAAAATGTGCTCTAACATTTGCAAGATGATGTTCTTTGTATAAATTTCTTGTATTTAAACACCTTACGGTTGCAATCGCAACGGTAAGGAGTTGCTCTCGAGAACAAGCGTGTCTGATTCATTGAGTGTCATTGGCAATCCTAAATTTTCGCTCTTTTCCCGCGACGACGTAAAATTTCAGAATTGTATGGGAACATAGAAGCATTGCTTAAACGAAATTTTATCAAGACTGACCAATTTTAAGGAGTAAGAGTTTTGTGCAGACCACACCTATTAACCGGCGAACGCCAAAAGCTCTTGATACCTTTTTTATACAATGGTTTTCGGTCCTGTAAGTCTAACTGCAGCGGAAGTTTGTTATGTGCGGCGCTTATTTAGTTAATAGAAATTAATATATCTTCCATATACCCCATTCTTATTAAAATATTGTCCATCGTATCGAATTTTTGTTTCTTCAAGGCTTGGTTTCATAGCAGTGTTTTAAAGGTTTTACCGCCGAGTGTACAAAAGGTATCGGTCTATCCTTTGCGAATAGTGAGACATTTGTTTAAATTTATCACCGTTTTCATGGTTTTTTTAAAAAAAAAAAAAACCAGCCGGAGTAGTTTAGAAATGTAGAGCAATGGTTTTTAAGCCTGAACAGAACGAAAAAGAGTTCTATCATTGAAAACGAATTTCAAACAAACGCGATAGACCTCTTATAGTTGAAATGCAATTTTTCAGAGAGCTGAACACTTGCTCTGCTAAAACATGTCGATTTGCTAATGAATTCACGAGTTTATCGCTGTTTCTTGTGGTCCAAATCCTTTGCTGTAACTGTGTCACGTCAAAAGAAAAAAAGTACTTAGAAGTCTTCGGACGAACAGGTTTAAAAAAGCTTCTTATTTGAAATTTTATGAACTGCGGTACAGGAAATTGAAGGATCATTCAGTTCGTTTGAGAGGTGAAGAGGAAGACAAATCGGTCCTCGTATCACAGCAACACAGAAACAGATACAAAATGCCTTGTCCACTTAACTCATAACACTGTCCTTTAATTACACACACAACGCTGATTAATCTCAAGTTACAAATACGATCTTGCACCACAACCTCTCCGCGATCAGAATCGGTTTAAATTTAGAAGGATTCGAATATAAGATGCTTTCGGAAACTACTTCGAAGACGCCCCCTTATATGTTGCGAGACGATTTTGTTCGCAGTTAAGACAAATGTTTGCCAAGGCGGCAGGGGACTTAAAGATGAAAATTCAGTTTTAATTATAATGCGTTTTTGTTTATACAACAGCCGAACAACGTCGGGAAATAATATTTTTATGCAAAGTGAAATGTCCAACACAGTTTCAAATTGTTTAAGTCTGTCTCGTAATTGTCATAAAAATGATTTTTATCAACGGAAATGTCTGTTTTTCCTTCACTTAATTGACGGTTTTTAGCATGGTTCTAACATGATGGAGATCATTTTTAAAGTTCTCCCAACAATTTTGATTCCCTGTCAAACTTCTGAAATTGAGAAGGAAGTTTTTTGTTTTTTTTTTTTAAATAAATGAGATTTGACGCGCGCTCTGATTGGTCAGAAACCTATTGACCTTAGTAATGATAAACCCTTAGCTATTTTTTAACCGCGCTTTCTATCAATGTTTCCTTGATGAGGAACTAAATTTTGAGGAATATCTAAATAATGAAACTTGTCGTAATCAGTTGGGAGATTTTCCCTGAAATGAAATTGATTATTTAATCCAAACTCTTATTGACGGAAGTTATCGCGATCAGTGTGGTGGCTAAAAGTAGTTTCGTTGTTTTGATGGAACGTAGCTTTCACACGTTTTTGTTTCCTTGGAAATTATCTCAAAAAAATTCCCAATTATTATTCATTTAGTTGTGAGCATGTTTAACATATGAGATCTCCATAGCAGCTCTACTGCCTCTACGAAGCATTCGTACCAAGATCACTCTTACCCAGATCACTCCCAAGCGTGATCAAAAAAGAATTTCTCCTCATAAAATCAGCACAATATCAAGCAGACAAGTGAGGAGAATTTCCGTGCCGAATTTCTCTACCTCCAAATGGAGATTCCAATATGGGTAGCGAGTTTGAAGAAAAAACACCTTAAAGTCGGCATCAATTTTACTTTAATTTTTTTTTTTTTAATTGAGCGTTGGTATTCTATTTTCTCTTCCCAGTCCTTGGGTTCCGCCCGGAATAAAACTTGGCAACGAGGGTCACCTGAATGATTTTATCGATGGCTTGGGTCCAGCGCAGATTGTTGGGCGCCAAGTCCTCGCGTCGCCCTCCATGGGAGACATCCAACTGGCGCTTTACAACAGGCGAGGGGTGTTAGAAGTTGAGGTCATCAGAGCCAAGGGATTGCTACCGAAACCTGGCTCGAAAATTCTACCAGGTAAGCGCTTTTGTTGCTGACTAGAATATAAACATTAACTTTGTTTGTAACCACGCCTGTAAAATGGAGGAGGGGCGGGGGGAACATGGGAATTCTGGTGTGAACGGAAAAAGCTTTGCTTGTTTGTTCGTGAAGTTTCGTTGTGTTCAATCATTGTAGCTTTCAACGGAGGTGTTATCATACACCAGCAATTATCAAGTCATTGTTTGGATGCGAAGAAGAACTCGGATGAATTCCGTCGCGTGTTGGGTGAAATTACTCTACAGGCTTCACTTTTCTGGCGAAAGGGTGCAAGAATTCCCGAAAATTCTCTCGCAAGCGTTAAAATTTCGTTCATAATTTGTATTTCTCTACCATTACATAATTTGCGCCGGAATATTCATCTATATCCTCCAAAGGTAGAAAAATAATAATGATAGCGGGCTTGGATTTTAAAACCATTTGGTGGCTACGCGCAGCCATATAAATAACAACAACAACAACAATTTATCACTTATACAGCGCTATTTACAATGACAGATCAACAGCGCTTTAAAATCAATCCTAACCCGCCCATCCCACCCCAGGGGAGGACATCCATCACACAGTAGTCTCGTGCGTGGGAAATTAACGTCTCCTACCCCTAACCATGTAGGAGACGGGACCTCCATTTATTCGTCCCTATCCGAGAAGACTAGAATATCAAACCATTTCTTGATGTTATAGAAAGGTAGCATATTCTTCTCAATTATTTTAAGACCTTGAGTGTTGGTCCGGCCGGGGCTCGAACCTTCGACCTCCCGCACAACAGTCCAGTGCTCTATCCATTGAGCTAACCGGGAGGTCAATCGTGTTGGATCTTTATTTAACGGATGCCGATTCCTATAGGTTATCTGTAGTCTGAGAACACAGCGCAGCAGAAAACATTAAAAAAAAAAAGAAAAAGAAACCTACCAAACAAACAAACAAACAAACACGGCCGAGGTATGGACGGTAGATGCAGTCTAAAGGCTTTAATTTTTTTCTGGTGTCGACTTATAGAACCCAAACAAGATTTAGTTAATCTATCGACAGCAGTTGCGTTTTTCTTCTTTCCCTCTGCTATGAAATAATCACACAAATCTGAAGCGCCGCTTATTATCAGACTGCTTCGTCTAGTACTGATTAACTTAATGTAGTCGCGAGCAGCGCTCATTATAAGCGCTTCGACACGGGCGTTTCTTCATCCGCGAGAAAATACCAGGGCTTGAACAACGAGAGCCGACGAGAGGTCTGCAACGGCGTGGCACTGGTTATGAGTTGGTGCCAGACCCCTGGCGAACCTCCCGGACTTGTCATAAGTCTTCGCGCGGGCGGAGAAAGGTGGGGCCTGAATATAGGGTAGCTTAAATTTGTAAGCAATGATCTACTGTTTTTTCTCCTCTGATTCCAGCGCCTTATGTCAAAGTGTACGTCATGGACGGTAAACGCTGCCTAATTAAAAAGAAAACCAGAACCGCAAGAAGAACTTTAGAACCTTTATATCAACAACAACTCGAGTTTAAGGTAGAATTCACCGGAAAGACACTGCAGGTAAGTGAAATGTTTTTTCGGTGTTTCAAGGTAGGATTCCTTCGTTTTGATGGCTAACTGGCAATTGAGTAGGCAGCGCGTTACGTGTCAGACCTCGCCGATGCATTTTAATGGTCCAATAATCTAGTTATTGAAAATTCGTAAACTTATGATGACCTGTGCACGTTGATAGTCTTACTTTTTTCAAAGATATTCCTGACCCATATTTACTTCTCTGTTGCAGGTTATTGTTTGGGGAGATTACGGGCGCATGGATAGAAAAGTATTCATGGGTGTTGTACAAATTTTACTCGACGAGTTAGACCTTAGTAACCTTGTCATTAGTTGGTATAAACTGTTTTCTACGTCGTCAATGTGTGACCCACCCCTCCCATCGCCTTCCTCCCCACTCGGTAGTGGGTCGCCAAAAAAGTCCCCAGGCCCGTCGCCAAGGGATTCAATGAATCCAGGTGTACCCAGTCCTATGCGCATGACGTCACCGATGCCCACTATCATCCCGCCACCAGGTCACGTGCACAATATGGACGAAGAGGGAGACTATGTTTGAGTCGCACGCTTGTAGGACGTGGATTCGGCTAAGAGTGGCGACGGTGGAATTCTGGGAATTTTGTTTGAGGTAAAAGTGGCGTTCGGTTTTGAAAAGGTCGTGGTTCATGAAGAAATAGACGATGTGTTAAATGCTTTTTACCACGAAAACGCTCTATGTGCGAAATAGACTGAAAATCAGTTACATTTGTAGTTACATTACGAACAATTTTAAAACTGAGTTGTACAAGAGACGTGACAAGCTGACGTCGCCCCAAGCCTTCAGTCGACTCATCTCAGGGTGAAACTGACAACGATCATGTGACTAGTTATTATGTAAGTAACAAAGTTGATTGGTGAACTTGTCCTTAATTCCTCTCTTAATCAAGAACAAACCAAAAAAGGAAAATTGAACAACGTGCTTCTAAGAACCACGAACTAGGGTTTAAAGGAAAAATATCTTTGGATAAAAAATATCGTTTATCATTGAACAAGCCGTTTTAAAATGGTTCTTTGAATTTACCTCTTGATTGAAAAAAAAAAAAGATCCGAAGCAAATATTTTTGAACTATTAAGCAGAAGTCGTTTACTTTGACGTGGCTATTTATGGTTACTGCAACATTTAATGTGCCATGAAGTGCCCGTTGATCTCGTAGCTTAACTATTTTGACCAAGCTGTGGGCCTTAAAGCTCACTGTGTTATTTAAAGCTCTGTTTAAATCTTTTAACTTCCCTGATCTGGTTAGCAATTCTCTGTACAAGCTGCTTAGTGTATGTTTCCTTGATAAAAGTGGATGAGAATGGAATGTTGCCTGAAAGATAACGCCCTTCAACTGTTGAGCATGTTAATTCCCATCACCTGTTTCCTGGATAATGTGTAGCCATTGTATGGAGAATCAATTTTTCAATCTTCTGAAAATTAAAGATTTGATTCCTTAGCTCAGTGCTGTTTACAAAATAGATATTTATGATTGTGCTAATCATGGGGAATGCAGAAATATGTTAGGTATATGAATTTAGGGTTTTAAATGGTTTTTTTTTTTCTTTATTGGTAAATGTCTTAGTTTATTGTCAGCAGCGCTTGCGTGGGGCGTCACTCAACTATTCCTTGATAAGAAACGCAGCGTGATAAAACAGTTCAGTGTGCGCGGAGTTCTTGACGACCAAGCCCTTGCAGGGCTCAACCGTCACGCGACAACTGAATCACCTCAGGGTTTGAACGTAGCGTGACAGCCTAATGTTCACTGAATCGAAACGGCGTGACGTAAGGGTATTGCGTGACAAATCATTAGTAGTAAAAAGTAAATAGGACATTTCGTAAGAGAAGATAACTGAAGAAAAGATTAATGTAAGTAAAATATAGATTTTTATTTAAGTAGCGTTGGGTTGTTTTGACCGATATAGTTATGTATTGAACAAGCATCTCATTTAATTTCACGTTTCACTTTACCAAAGTCTGGTAGTGGAAATATGGACGAGAATGATTCTCAATAGTCCTTTTCACAGTTGTGGGCTTGGTGGCCAAACCTTTGAACAGGAGTGAGGCTTAGGGTGACCTTGTTATGATAGAGATGTTGCTGCTTTTCAAATGCAAATTACTTGTTATCATGCTAACTAGATACAGGTCTCTATCACAACAGGGTCACCCTTAGCCTCACTCCTGTTCAAAGGCTTGGCCACCAAGCCCACAACTGTAAAAGAGACTATTCCGTATCACTTGTAGACATTTTATTTATAAGGAAAGATTTATTTAAAGACAAGAAAAAATATTATATAGAATTGTACAACTGTTCTAATCTATTATGTATTTATTCGTATTCTTTGAAACTTGGGGAATGAAGTTCTTTTCGACGGAAATCGTATTTATGCGCTTTTTAAAGCTTAAATCAAACATATTGAAGTAGCTAAATAAATTGCAAATACTGAATTATGATGTCTCCGTATTTTTTTTCGGGTTATTTTAAGGCATTGCTCTGAGAAACAGAAGCTTGGCTGATAGTTTTGTAAAACTTTGCTCGTTGAATATAGTGCAGTCGCGTCTGCGAGCGCGCCTTAGTTGGTGTTGCTGTACGAGAGTATGGCGGCTTCACGCGAAGTCTGCGAAAGTCGAGCCAACCTCTCCCTGCTCGCTGGCGGGAGGTCTAAGATGGGTCTGACGAGAAATGAGGGCAGACAGCTCGCAGGTAGACTGCTTTGCAGCCATTTCCGGAGTCGTCACGCCAGGCGAATAACTACCCCAGAAAAGGCTGCTCACATTCGAAATGCATTCCATTCAGGACTTCCACCAATCAGCATTTACTTACCACATTCTGGAAAGTGTCCGCGCCAATACATGCTAACCAATCACAGGCCTCGACTTGTCTTCTCAAAGCAGTCTATCTTATCTTACTGTCAGTTGACGAGGGAAAGTTTCTAGCACAAGTCTGTAGGGATGACTTCGAATAGGAGACACACCAATAGAACCAATAGGAGATTAAATCTTGCCGGAGTATAACGTACCTGTTGGCTGGTCGCCGTAGAAATACTAGAATTGGTTGTAGCATTAGAAGTACAAGTGGTGTTGATCGGATCGAATTGTAAACATTTTGAGGATTTCCCANTTTCCTCCGTCAAAAAACTACGATCAAATGCAGAATTTGAAAACGCAGGAAAACGATATTGATTATAATCCATTGTGCTCTGATTGGTCACAAAAAACGATGTCAAGTGATCTCATTGGTGCAGAGACAACAAAGGGAAAGGAATGTTGTTTGAATGTGAGCAGCCGTTTGTGGGGAGGAGCGTTGCGTGACGAGACTAAAACCGGCTGCGAGGGAGACTAGCTCGCAGGGGGGTCCAAGTCTGTTTACGAGCCTAGTGGCCCATCAGGCCGGTGCTTAACTCCAGTTTCTGTAGCATGAAGCGACTAAGAGTATTTCTACTCCCCCCTGGATGGGATGCTAGTCCATCGCAGGGTTACCCCCCCAGCATAAATTTTGCCGGTACCCATTTAAACGCCTGGGTGAAGAGAGGTAATGTGAGAGTAAAGTGTCTTGCCTAAGAACACAACACAATGTCCCCGGCTGGGGCTCGAACCCGGACCACTCGATCCGGAGTCGAGCGCACCAACCATGAAGCCACCGCGTCTCCACTAGGGGGTCCAGCGGCCTTCTAAAGAAGCCAATGAAAGGCTGCTCTCTGGCAAGTCGTGCAAGTTCTTGAATGTTTAATTTACGAAAACGTTTTGTGCTTGCGTCTCCGAATAACGCAAGACTGCGTTGATGATTGAATTCCATGCAACGGAGAGGTACTTCTCTCCCGATTTAAGAGAGAAAGAAAACTTTAAGGTCACCTTATATTGTCTGAGAATGATCAATACAGGTTCAATGAACACCCGTGCGAGCTCCGACTAAGAACAAAGGCTGCTGTTTGCCCTGTTCTTTTCACCAGACTCTCTCGCCATGACAAAGAAAACGAGGACACTGGTAACAAGAATGGCGCTAATTAAACGCAGAATCGTGCCCAACTTGGCACGTGTACAGCAGTTACTTCAAAATTAGTTTAGCAAATAACATTAAGGAATGTTAGCTCGCATTGCAAGCGTTTTATTCGTTTAGTCGACCATGTTTGATATAAAGTCAAGTGGACCGAGGGGGGAGGAGGGGCAGGAAAGGGCCCTTTCAACCTTCACTCACCTCTTAGGACAAATTTCTTCCTCTCCCCAGCCTTCCACTGCTGTAAAAGTTAGAGATGGCAGCTATAATTTTCACTGAGAAACTGTCACGACTTTGGATTCTTCAAGATGGGGTTGTAATCCACGAGCCAGTGATTTTTTTAATGCATTTTAATAGGAAAGCAAGGCTTACTTACAGTGGCACATACATTATTGAGCTGTCTGAAATGTTTAAAAATGAAATAGCAAGCAAAGATTAATAGTAGTTCTTAACTGCAACTGTAAGATTCGACACTATGGAAAATGCCCCTCGATCTAACTATGCCTAAATTGAATAAAATGATCCTATTCCAGTCACTTTTTCAGCAACAAATCCAGGAGAATCAAAAAATTTTTCTACTTTGTTGAGCCTACTTTAAAAGCGGTAAATATCGCAATTTATCAATGTGGAGTACTTGAAACAGTCGATCTGTTTGTGCCACACCCTTTTGCTAGAATTCTAAGCTTGCTTATATTTCGTCATTTCTTACCTTGCAAACGCTGTAACGGTTAAGGACGTTTCTTGTCCATAACATTATTCAACGAGGTAGATTCTTTTAAATTCGTTTACCGCCTAGAACGATGCAGGAAAGAATCTGTGTCTTCAATGTAACTTCTATGAAATGACGAAAAGCAGTAACGATTGATCGACATATTAGACTTGCCGCCACTCCCTCTCTTCTTACACGAGGAGGGCTGAGGAGGAGCAAAGAGTAGGAAAGGAATGCTGGAAAAGCGTTCTTAGACGCCAAATCTTTATCGCGTAACAACCGTAGCAAGTCTAAATATATTAATCAAACTTTATGAAACCCTTAAATGCCAACTTGGAAAAGCGCAAAAGCAATTCATCACCGCCAACAGTTTGTTAGAAATTTTTAAGAAAAGTTTTACCGATTAATTGATTTTCTGTATAAAAAATAAAAACAATTGACTTTAAAACATTATTTTATACTGTCTTAATTCAAAATTTATTGTCTCAATAGAAAGGTGTAAATGGAAAACTAAACAGTGGTTCGAGGTTCTAAAAGCTACTAAAAGGTTCTTAAAGTTGAACATGGTCATTCAAAAGCTGGATGTCGATGAAAACTGAGATAAAAAAATTGTAAAAAATGTCATTAGCTTCTCAAGCTAACAAAAAGAAGCGGTGAACGACAAAAGACTTTCCTATAGTGTGCCACGTGACGTCAACCCCAGTCCCCCTCACACAAGCATCTTGTTTTCATCATTGGAGGCCTTTGAGTACACGACTTGACCAGCTTGCTGGGGTGTATGATAACGCATGTACAACACTACCAGAGCTGCGATAAGTGCCAAGACGACCACGCCCAGGACACCAGCAACCGCGCCGATAACGGTCAGCGAACTTCCAGACTCTTGTGCTGTTAAGTTGAAAAAAAAAGAAAAAAAAAAAAAAACCGTCAAAAAATAAGATGAGAGATGGCTTTAGGTAGTTATTAGTCTGCACATATCAGACGTGAAAGAACAGATTGATGCATGGATTTATGCATTCTGCATGAGAAACCTTGAGAAACGTCGTAAGACAAAACTCTCACATTGACCCTCCCTCTGCTAGGAGGGTAAATTGGTACCAGCGACCCGTCACAATACGTGCTGACGGGTTATCTTCGATGAAACGAGAAAAACCCATCGTAGTCTCCGGAGAGAAACTGTGGATAACCACAGACAGTTCAGAGTCACTGGGTTCTATTACTTGCGCTCTCAAGATGGTTGTATTGCTACGGGATCGACAACAGTGGTAAAGTTGCTTCTGGGTGGAAAAAAAAAAACAGTTTACAACCGGGTCAAAATCGCTCACGCGACCATGATATCAGTAACCCGCGCTAGCGATTCAACGAAATGTATGCTGTCACCATGCATAGTCTTGCCACTCATTTACTCGATCTAAAACCTACCGTTCGCGTAATATCTAAAGCACACGCACGGACGCATACACACACGAACACACGCACAAGCACGCGCGCGCTCACCTTGTTCTTGTGGTTGAATATCTTCAGCGGTCAATGGTCCAATGGTAACAGTCTGCTTCTGAACACTATCCAATACCAAGCCGCGCCTCTTTCTGACATTGTCCCGGATGCATCCCTTGGCACAACGTGATTCGCTGTCTCCCTTGCGGCATGCTTCCACAGCGCAATGAAGGTAAACAGTGGATCCTGCGTTCTCTTGTAAGAAGCGGAAAGCATCTAAGGTAAACCGTTGAACTGCATTTTCCTCGTAATTAAACACCAGTGTAGAGTCCTCACCGCAACTGAATATAATCGAAGTTACAATACAGGAATATTAGAACGGAACTTAAGTGCATTTACAAGAGCAAGAGGACAGCCCAATGACTTTCGACGCTTTTCAGCCACAGAACTAAGACTGAAAGGGAATTTCGATCTTGTTACCAGAAATACTGATAAAGTTATAAGATATTACAGCTGATCCGTTAAATGAAATTTCAACGATGGGCTCTTCTTTAGAGAAGAGAGTTTCGTTTACAGCTAATTAACAATTATTCCACGAGCGCGCGTTGGATATGAGATGATAGATAGCCAACGAGGCGCTTAGCGCCGAGTTGGCTATAATCATCTCATATCCAACAAGCACGAGTGGAATAATTGTTTTATTAAAGACGTTAAATTAAATTAAATTAAATTATTTTATTAAATTTTTAGCTCTCTTTTAATTTTAAACTGGCACGTACGCTTGCCATATTTGTAGATTATGGTTTATTGGCTGATATACCATAATGGCTAAGCCAATAAAAAGTCTTGAATTGCATTATCCAATGATCTAGTTTTTAATAATATAAGCTATACAAAAAAAAAACCTTCCCAGGTCGCGTCCAAGGAACTTCTGTCCATAAGACAAAAGGGGAGGGGAGGGGAGGGGTAGGTTTACAGTTGTTCATAAACTGTAAATAATGATCCACAGTTTGTTTCTCTGGCATACCACGTTTCAAACAATCAAGGTATTGACGTATTTTTTTCAAAGCAATTTGAGGACGATCTTTTAGCCCCTTACCCATTATCGATAAATGCAAAGAATTTTGAATCCTTTGGGTCCTGACTGGGCGTGGCCCAACATTTTTCAGGAATCAGCACCAGTTTAGAATCATTGGACTCGACTTTCACCTCTAGGAACATCTTTTCATTCAGCTTCTTTTCCACCGGATAGCTATCATATGGTTTCAAGTATTGATCTGTCTCGTACATATCCATCGTGAAGGTAAAGTTACCAAATTCAGCTGAAGATTTAAAGGAAAATACATTATATTCACTTCAACAAATGGATTGAAAATCTTTTGTTCCCAGGCCTCTACAAATCTAGAATTTTTGATGTATTGGCTTTAAGGGGCCTGGGAGAAAGCCCAACATTCGATTGACCAAAGATGATAGTTTTATTCGCAATTAAATAGTATACCATTATAACAAAGTGAGCATCAGACTCCTTTCTGTAAATCTACTTGCGAAAGACCTGAGAAGAATAGTAACCAGACCTCTGTCTTACCTGTCCTTGTGTAGATGACTTTTTCCCGAGGAGAGAAGCTGGCGACAGACATGAGAGCAGATCGAGGATAGCTGCACTTGAACGGGAACTCGGCCTGAAACTCCCTGGAGATCAGAACGCTTCCCGCAGATGCCCTCGTCTCGGCAATGATGCTGTTCATGTACGTAATAGTATCTCCACTTGTGCTGTGGTTTGTCATGCAACTATCGAGCGGAGCCCTCATCCACAGATGAGTTGCGTTAAATTCTCCCAAGTTATTCAGGGTACAGGTTACGTCCATCAGAGTGATTTTGTCCATATCGAGATTGCCGTGATTGGGTTGGTGTTCCAAGATTACCATCATATATTCATGAGTACATTCAACGGACAAGGCTGAAAATGATAACGACGACGAGACAATATTAGTGGGTCAAACGATAAGTGCTTTAGCCTTATGATGAGGATGCCATAGGACACCAAGGTTACCGTTGACAAAACTCACCACTCTTAAAATTTTAAAATTGAAATTGAAAGAATAGAGAAGCAGATTCCGGCTCTGTAATCACCCCTTTTTTTTCAGTTGATATCTTTGTTGTATAAAGCTCGGAAAGCCTCATCTTGAATGAAAGCAGAACACCTTTTCAGACCCGTTAAGGTACCGGGACCCTTGAGAAACGGTCCTCGGATCCTAAAACGTGACCACCACTTGGCCGTGGGAGGTATGGGTAAGAGACCATGACCGTTTCTCGCGATGGCCTCACACACGCTTCACTTACTTTTTAAGACCTCCATGGTAGGTGTTGGTGCCGTGGAATTTTCTTGGCCTAAAACTGAAAATGAACAGAAAACGCCAGTTTGTATGTTTTCAACAGAGCAACCACTACAATTTTGGACAAAGCGTTTGGGAGATACTTAAAATAAGGCTTGCTCAACTGACTTCTGTTTTAACTAAATGTTATTTTTTTCAAAAGATCTGCAGGCTCTTAACGGTCATCGAATGTTCTAGCAAAGTAATGGTGCAAAGAACTCGGACCTAATGTTTTTGAAAGACAACCACATTCTGTGCGTGATTCTTCGATCTTTCCAGGCTGCTGATTTCCTTTACCATTTACAAATATAGATATAGCTAGAAGTGGCATAACATACAACCTCTTGAACGTTCTAAAGATGATAGGTTTTGCCGAGGGGCATGGAAAAACGCCTGGACTCGATCGAGCGAGAAACATCGCGTGTTCTTCTTTCGATGCGAGTGTCACGCGAAGTTTAATTCCACGTTAACGATTTTTCTGCATCTTTCTTTTTGTTCCCTTAAAAGATCTATTAAGAATTGATAACACTACTCCTCTTACCTTTTAGTTACGCTTTCAATTTTCTCTGCATTAATCGGTATGGGATTAGGAAATTTACTTAAGAAAATGCAAGAATTTATGCTTTGTGGACTTTAGGATTAGTGCGGCGACGGCAGGTTAAAACCCGTGAACCCACGAGTTAATTAAGTTGATAAACTTTGCCACCAGTTTTAATTCTTAATGAAGCAAAAAAAGTAGACGCCTTTTTAAAAGCAATTAGCTTCAGAAACCGCCGTAGAAAGTGTCAGACCAAAATTCTGATCTCGTCCAGCAAAACTTGGCAGAAGCAATGTGGCTCCAAGAGCGCCAGACACGAAACTTGAGCATGCTGAATATTGTTTAGTGAAAGCACATTATTCCTTTTGTATATGGATTTTTTAATACCCATAGTTTAGTCTGTTTTGAGATAAAGGCTTTTAGCAAAGTGTCAATAAACGGTCTGATGATCATTGAAATCATCACATCTGGCTTAGAAGAAAGAACTCCTTTTTCCAGAGCTCACAAATACCTAAGGACCGCGTGAGCAAAGAAAAAGCTCATTACCAAAAATACTACAAGGTTATCAACTACAGTTGAGAAGTTGGCCAATAAAGTTATCCACTTAAACTGCTGGATTTTGGAGCCATAAGCAACTTGGATTGTAGTCTTATAGACCTTGATCAACTAATGAAAACTCAATAAAAAAATTTACAAGTTTCAGGCGATTTGGTTCAGCAAGAATGAGCCTTGGAGTACGGCATATATGATGAAAATCATATCAATATACTCCGTGACGTTTGTTTAGATTCGGATCTGTTTCTATCATCGGGCGCCAACAAAGATATTAGTAATGTCAAGACCGAGACAGTTTTGACTTTCTGGTTTGTGCTCAATTTGCGCAGAGACGATGCATGCTTGATAAAAATGCGCGCGGTATTTTCAAAGCCAGGTGGTTCCAAAACAATAAAAGCTCTCCGGCTCGTTGGCTTACAAGTGTGAATAAAACTCTTTGATGCGAACCAAAGCTTTTAATATTTTAGGCGTCTGATAATCTACAGCCTCCAAACTGCAACACGCCAATACTATGAGTGCAATATCCACATTGATAAAACCTACGCGACCTATTTTGCGAGCTCTATCCCTCCTTGAAACCCCGACACAAAGAGACAATGCGCAATGTGGGGAGCCAGAGTTATCTAGGAATACATTAAACGCAATTTAATCCTGGCTGTTTTGGCTGACCTGCAAGAATTTTTAGTGACTTTCCGTTCTTAATTTGTTGTACTACCTTTGAAGCTCCGCGCGAAAAGCCACGCGCACACGCGAGGGTTTTCGTAGACTAAAAGTCTGAGATACCTATTGCTATATTCGGCACAGCTGATATCGTAAGCAAAGTCAAAACAAAGCGAAATATTATGTCAAAACTGTTTGTCAATACTTTTCACAGAGGTGCCAAGAGTTTAATGATTAATATTTATAAGGTTTGGAGATTGAAAAGACACGGAATTTGTGGTTTTCAGCTCTGATTTAATTTCAACCACACCCTGAAAAATTAAAAGCAAAACTAATAAAACAAAGGTACACGTAAATTTTTAGATTCATATGATGGAATGAACGACCAAAGCGTATTCCTTAAAAAGGTGTGTAATGGAGACAAAACAAACATCACTTAATAAAGTACAGCACATGTTTGCTTGCAAGCTGTATTTTCTGCTAATAAACCCGGAATGCAATGGCGCGTGGAATTGAGAACAGAACGGACTCGAGGCAACTCGCTCTTTTAACTATTTCCACCCCATTCAGCGTCGCAAATCCAAAGTTATCAAAATGTTTTAGCCGCGGATAACATCCGCTTAAATATGCAACTGAATCATCAGCGACTGAAAGAATGTTGAATGCAGTTCTCTTCTCCGAAGAGTGGAAGGATTATGCACAAATACGCCAATCCACCGGATGGGGAAATTGCGCAAAGAGATAAGGAGTTTTGCAGTCATACACTTTCTCTTACCATAAGTGATAGTAAGATTGGAAATTTGTCGAAGACATATAGGAAACGACGGCGCCGTTTCGCCTCGTTGCGACTTTTGTTTAGCGAGGCGGAACATTTCACAAAATTTACTTACATCAAATTGAAGCGCGCCACAAAATCATATCAGAAAGCGCACTTTTCACGGCAATTCAGTAAGAAATAGTTCGTCTGCGCATGCTATAACTAATAAAAGCCAAGCTCGAATCAAAACCTAAATATTTGATACGCAGTAATCGAATCTTCTAGCAACCCGTAAAGTTACGAAAATTTCTTACCGTTTGAAAATCCCACAAGAAGAAGCAAAACAAGACTGTAGAGCGCCATTTCTGGTAGTAATCGCTTCAATGGGCGAATCCCTCACCAAGAAGTTTAACCTTAAGACGAACTTGGAGAATCAAAGACGAGCTGCACACGCACTAGCCACTGCAGACGTCTAAGTGACAGGTCTCTGGGATCAAGGATGGTATTCTTTATGGGACCGCCATTTCATTATTATTCACATACAACAGGAGCCAATCGTGTTTGTCTTTCACGCCGCAATTATCACCATCCGTTTTGTTTTGGGGCGTTTGTGTAAGGCGGTCCCATAATTCATTTGCATAAAATGAATGCCTTTGTGAATGGCTAGAGAGGGAGTGTTTTCTTAGCTCAGACGGTGCTATCTAGTGAAGAACTTCAAAGAACTGATATTATTTTTACAGTATTCCAAAGCAATCGAGATTGCAAAATCTTGTAGACTTTTCACTCGCGCATCACGCATAATTTATTCAATTTTGCAGTTCAGCGCTTTGTCACGGTGTCGTGAATAAATCACAATGTCACTTGCTCTTTGACGGGCAGATGACACATTTTCATGGCTACATAACCTCCTTGGGAAACGATACAAATAAATAACTCAAAGAAATATAAGTTGATTGATTGCAAGTTGTCCAGGACACACTTGCTCGGAGAATTGTACGCAGCACAACATTCTTGTCTTATTGCGTCAGTGTTTTCATATGATTAGCAGATATCTGCATGAAAACAAACGAAGCTTTGCTATTGCTAAAGTCTCACGACATAGGGCGTAATAAGACATTTGAAACTCAAAAGGCTCTTAGGTTCTAAAGCGGTATTATTTAGCAGCACTTGATAAAAATGACAGTTTTCCGCGAGATTTCGCAAGCGAGGCAGAACTTTATTTCCCTCGAAATTTCCCGTGAGAGAGAGCAGGGTTTGTTGATTTTTAAACAGTACGAGAAACCAAACGAATAGAAATTACAGCGGATTAATATACAGCCCGAGGCAACTAAAACTCTAGATTACAGGTGAATAAAAAACTTAATTGGAATAAACTGGCTGAAAATAATGGTTGAAAAGAGTTTACTATACAATCAAACAAAGACATTTATGTCAAAATCAAGTTCATGTTTGTTTGCCGTTAGCCTTTCTGAAAAAAACTGCAAATGAGAACTGAAAAAATATTTTCCTAAACAACGCTTGTAAAAGGTTATTGTCTCAAATTTGTACCACCTATTAAGCAGTTAATTTGTTAATTTTGGAAATTAGACCCACAGCATGAAAAACCGATAAGAGTCATTTGGTCAGCGCGATTCGACAAGATCGATCATTATTTAATCTTGTCCTGATTTTTTTAAAGAGATGTTTATTGAAAAATGAAGATTTAGTCGTCCAAGGGATTTTGTGCTCTTCGTGTAAATTACAAAGCCGATTTTCTTTAGGACCATAATTAGGCCCACTACAGAGGTACAGTGTCTACGTGATTCGCTGACTGCTGTTAGAATTTTGAGGGAACTGAGCACTAACTGTGTTGGCACTCTCCCACGTTAGTAAATTTATATGAAACGTCGGTAAAAAGTGCTCTTATGAACGGGAGCTTGAGTTAAGCAGTAATCAGTTTCTCAGCGAGCTTTGTTGACGGCCGCGATGAAACTTCGCAGACAAAAGGATGAACAGAGCTCTAATATGATTCGACGTGGTTGCCGTTTGAAATCGCTGTATCCCGAACCGTATCAAAACATCAAACATACCATTTGTGACTTGCCACATGTTAACCCTTACAGCCAAAACACTCTCCGCAAATAATATGAAAAATGTCTGAAACCTTAATCTTAGAGTTCTTTAATAAACCAAAGAAAAAATCACATCGTTCTCTCAACTTTGCTAATTATAAAGATCCTGTTTTCAATACGTGAATGTACAATGTTCTAGATTAAGCTTTTTGTTTACATAGAGGTAAGTGACGAGGTTTTTTTTTATTGTCTCTATGTACCAGAAATTCTGTTTAAATTACGCCGACCATGGATTTGGCAAGCTTCACAAAAAATGCCAGTGAAAATGAATTCGGCTTGAGAGCCTAGAAGGATCCAAGTAGGATCTTGTTTTGTCTCCTGTAAAGAATCTCTTGCTCAGAGAAAAACAGAAGTCTATTAGATTGAAAATTACTGTTACAGACCAAAAGTCACAGCTAAAAAATACAAGGGAAGGGCTGGTTGGACACAAACGAAGTTCACCGCAAACATTTACGGTAATTATTTTAATAATATGGCTATTATATAAAATGGATTCTTTTGACACAGCTGTCTAGAGAGTTCTAGAATTCAAATCACCTAACACAAAAACACAAAAAGATTAGAGCTTCACCCACCAACAAGAGTTAAAATTATCAGCTTTAAAACTCTCCATAGTGTTTTTCCCAGTTCACAAAGCTTACTTCCCTTTGGGAGAAGTTAGCCTTCTCGCTTTCTTCCTCTTTGTGCACGTGAACCCTCCATAAAAAAAAAGATATTTGAATCTTGAAGTTTCAGGTTAATAATGCCTCACCCGATAACGTAATTCATACGTTGTTTCTATTTCTTTTTTCTATTTTTTTCCTTTGTTTTTATTCTTAAATATTTTTATCCATTTTGAACGTGAGAACCTGATATAGATGTTCACGGCCTAAACAGGATTTATTACGTCTTGCACGATACAAAACAATCCTTTACTGAGTTGTAAAGAGTCAGCGTGGTTCCGTATATGAAACGGTAAGCAAGGTATGAGCGAGACAATAGCTCTCTCTGAAACCAGCTGCCTCCTACAGAGAACAGGGATAAGAACGCTAAAAAAAAAAAAAAAGAAAAAGAAAAAAAAAAAATAAATAAAACCAGCTTGTGTCTTGAATGTACAATGCTCCAAAAGATAAAACCATCAGGGTCCCTGCGCTATTTTTTTAACCGATTTCAAATCTGATCGAGCTGATTTTATTCGCATTAACTGTCTGCCTTGTTACGGTCTCAAGATCTTGCTTTTAAAACAATTGTATTTCGTAGACTTTAGGTGTGAAGCGAAATCCTTTAGTGGGCCAGGGCGTGGCTAATTTAAGCTAGATTGTTTTGACTGAAAAAGATTTCTTGTATCTTCTATTTATAAAGCTTCGCTTAAAGAAGTAAAGTTTGGTCAACAACCTATGTAAGGCCTCGATCGGATTTAAAACTAGCCCATATCTGTTAATAAGATGTCAGAAACAAAAGTTAAGAGACAAGAAAAATGAGATAAACTTAAACGATCCTTCGGTAGTGTTTTTGAGCTCTAGATTTGGTGGGAAAGAATAGGTCTAGACGAACTGGGACTAAGGGTCACTGAGTAATTCGGCTCAATCGATATCCTCCGTCCATTTACAGACTTTTTGTACTTCAGTCTAGGAACAAAACCAGCTAAAAAAACCCAACTGATCGCGTTCTAAGGTGAGAAAAAAAATTAAATTAAATTTAAAAAATTTAAAAAAAGGGGCGCGATTTAGCGAAAGTCATGGAGCACTGAAATAAATGACGACCTGATTTCAAAACAACTGAGCAGACCGACAAACAAACAAATAAACAAATGAATAAAATGACATGAAAAAACTATGCAAATAGTGAGCTGGATTACGTACGAATTTTGATTGGTTCTTAATCATGATCTGTTAGAGAACAGATACATATATGACGTCAACATTTGCAAACTTTTTTTGCCTCTTTATTGTATTAAACAAATAGATTCCGTGTTGCCGTACATCTGTTCGATAACAGATCACGAAAGACACCGAGACGTGGCTGGAACTTCGGTAACATCAGTGACACTCGGCTACATCTAGTTTGCTACCTTTTTTCTTCTTACCATATTTATTTCTGAAAAGATCGATGCACGGTAACACGGAATCTTTTTGTCAAACTGCCCCCATCTAATCGGTTTCTATAATGCATTCGGCACTGAAGAAAATGCTTTTCAACTCTCTCCCCACCTCCTCCCCCCAAAATCCAACGTGAGAGCACATTGCAAGAGCAGCTAGCCTGTTAAGCTTCTCTGAAAAGCTAATGCGGTTTGAAGTACTCTTGATGAAAGAGATTTGTTCCAAAGACATTAAACTTGATTACAGGATTACAGGATTAGCGTTATCGCTGCTTTCGATCTTTTAACAAGGGTCTCTTATACACTCGCAGCTTAATAAAACGCTCTATGGAGTATTGATCACTATTTATAGTTCCACTCTTGTGCATTGTTTTTGATCTTGATAACGTGTGACTAAGGTGTTTCGTGACTTTCAGAAAGAATGGTGCAGACTGCTCATATTTTGATTCTGGAGCAATCTTATGGTAGATATAGCAGAAGTCAACTGTAGAGTTATATTGACTCAGGACGGCGAGTAGATCACTTGATCAGGCTAAACAAAAGTATCTAGCGAGAATTTGGCACTTTATCATCATCGAAAAGGTGTATGTGTTTGATCGCCTGGCATATGTGACTTCCCTTCTCTTTTTGACCTTGTTTTAGTCGGTTACTTTTCGCGTGATTTTCGATGTTTTCGTCCTAAGATGCCGACTTCACATCTCATTGAAGGCTATTAGCAATAATAATACGCTATAAATCAATGTCTTCTGCATTTCCAGCCTCCGGTATTCCAGCTGAACTAAATATTACTTGCTCAGTTATGCAGAACATAGTCTTCAAACTAATGTATAAATTCTACACACAAGCTTTTCATGTACTTCAAGCTTTATCTTCCAAATGTTAGCATCACTTAGCTGAAAATGTAGCCAATTGCCAGGTCTGCTTTCCTTTTTTTTTTTCTGATGGCTTCTTCGAGTTTAATGAACACACCAATTCTGATATTTTACCAAATTTCCACATCCTTCCCATAAAACTGATAAATATTCATTGTTGCTCGCTAGTTTCTTTAGAACTCCTGATAACCCCCAGATAACCCTAATGGTGACTAGACATCACAAACGAATCTACTGGGTTGATCATACTAATTGGATCGTAATTAAAATTTTTATCGAGCGAGATCAGTATGTCAATTTATTATCTACTTGAAAAACAATGAATAGGTGGACAACCTGCTGTGACTGATATTCTCCCACATTTTTTCTGGCACTTGCTCTTTTGTTTCAGTGGGTTCTGTGCGATATTTTCAGTCGCGTCCATTGTTAAAAATTTAGCTTCGCTTTAGCTTGGTCGTAGTCCGTATGGAAGTAATTAGTAACTTGACTCTGTTTTTCTTTTCCTTTTTTTTTTTTTTTTTTTTTATAAGTTATTTGAAATGGAAGCTACTTTCGATGTTTTAAAATTTTGCGCATCTGATATTTTCTCCAGTGTTTATGCATATCAAAATTATCATAGTTATTGTTGTAAAGGTGTCTAAGTCAATCCGTGATCTAATGCCGCAGGAAAGTTCGAGTGACGAAACCGCGTGACAAAGAAAGCAGGTCAGCGGGTGTTACCTCGACTCGTGTTGACTGAAAAAATATTAAAGACACGCTTCCAATCGGACACTTTCACTGATGCGATTTGTCGCTTTATGTGGTAGAGTTTAATGAGATAATAGCGTTGCAGTGTTCTAGTATACAGTTTCAGATTTGTGCTGCCAGGCATTGTTTTTCTAAAAAGCTTTGCTATACAGGCTTTACAAGAGTTGGTGACGCTTTCGTTGTGGGAGAAGGTTTTTGTTGACTACATTGGGAATTTGCCGCGAGCAACTTGGAATTAGTGTCACTGGTTTTGGACATGGTTCCCAACACGACAAGCATCCTCAGGAAATGTTTTTCCTGGATTTTCTGGGCTCTTTTGACTGTCGTGACAGTTCAAGCTAGTAAGTAAAGATTGTAAAGGAGTGAGATTTAATATAAACGACCCTCGCGTGAAATTCATGACTCGAAGTTGCGCCTTCTGTGCTCTTGTTTCGAATAATACGCGTTCATTTTGAGAAAGCAAATTTTGAATTATTTCACGCTAGTATTTTGTGTGGACTTCACTTGAGCTGATACAATTATTCGGTTTATTTTAAGTTTCTCCTGTGGCGAGCACCCTACGATTCGGCAGAAAAAGCTCTTGTTTGATCGCAAACATAATTTTGAAATTATCTTGCTACCTATGTTTAGCGGCTACTGCGTTTTTTATGCTTCCGTTTCGTCGCATTTCGCTGTGAAACCTATGCATTTAAGAGCTAATTTCTCTCAAGGGCATCCGTTTTTTAGCTCTACTTATAACAGTCGCAATTTCGTTCGTATGTCTGTATACAATTCTCAACATCAAACAAACAGTGTGTTTGCGTTGTACATTTCTTAAACCCACATATTCTTTTTGTCTTCGTTTTAAACAAGTGCACTTTGCCATCATACTTTTACTACAAAATGTAGTACAGATGAGAAAATTTCTCTTTATAGGTAAATAATAAATGCATTGCCCGGCAAGCGCTGTTGTGTTATTCGACAACGAACGAACACTGGTGTTATCGTTAAGCCGCGATGTCTGTTTTGGCACCTTTCTGTGGTAACGTGACTCAACACACATCGCAAACATTAAAATGTGCTATGCTTCGTGGCAGAGAACAACTATCTTTAAGCGTTCTTCTTCTCAGACATTGTTTAGAACTGTGATTGACTTCTACAAGCTTGAATTGTTTCTTACAAAGAAAGCATTTTATCCAACGACGAATTCTAATGAAAGTTTAATATTCAATAAGCTGTCGGTGAAAGATACTCAATGACGATAGAGGCAAGTTGTTGGCAGATTGGACAAATTAAGGGTTTTCAGTATTTTGAAAGAATCAAAACATTTGTGAAAAGCTATGTTTGGCACTTATATATATATATATTGACATTCATTCAAATTAGCGAGTGTTTCGCTAGCGAGTGTTTCGCTAGTGAGTGTAAAAAATCATACTGAAAGATATGTATTGTGCATGGCTTCCATTGCCAAAAGATTTTGACATCGTGACACTAGCGTAAGAGGTTTTCCTTTAATACTTTATGACTATTTTATATTTCTTTTATGCTTCGAAGATCGTTTTACATTAAGTGCTTCGATAATGAAATCCAACTGAAAAGTGTGCATCGTAAAATGTTTCTAATGCCGAAAGATTTCGACCTCGTGAGACCAAAATAATAAGTTTTTATTTATACTTAAGAACAATGTTTGTTTCTTGTATTCTACGAAAATCATTTTGCGACAAAAAATCTAGACGCTGCCACCATGCAATATGAAGCTATTAGCGTCTAGTGCTCGAGCAGTCTAGTAAATTCTGTCATGCATGGAAAATTAATGCATAAATATGTTAAAATGGTCTTTATGGATTTGTTCTAACGCACACCCAAGTAAAAGACAAAAGATTTCACCTAATCTGCGGTTTAAAGTCGATCGCGTAAAGTACGGTCTTTGTCGCTCTTTTTCAATATTAGTACTACCGGCTCGTCAATTTTTCAATTTTTATAAATCCGCTAATTGAGAACATGTTGGCTTCTAAGAATGTTATTGTGTTATTTTTTTGATGTAAGTACAAAATTATACTCACAAATTTTTGTCTAGAAACTGCCACGGCCGCTGTAACACCTGATGTCGTCTAATTGCAATCTTAATACTTAAACTTCGCTTCGAAAATACGCTTTCAGCTAAAAAATTTTCCCATGAAATTTTGGTTTTAAATTGCCATTATCATTTCAGAAACAGGTCGCCAAGCAGACCTCTTTGTATGTAGATTCTCGAAAAGATTGACTTAGTGAAGGGATATTGATAATGGTCGGCGAAACTTCAATATCCTGCTAAAGGTATTCACTTAAATTTTATTGTAGTAGAGTTCTTACAGCTTTCAGAAATGGTTCAAAGTGTTAGAAGCTTTATTGGATTGCTTGTGAAGTTCTTTATGATGGCTAGGCATCACGGAAGGGAAAAATTTGAAGTGCTTCGTTAAACAAAAAACAAATCACCAACAAGCCCTCTGCGAGTCTGTCGGATTATTTTATTAGTACCATACGACACAAAGGAGAGAGTATTGCAGGCAATACTTCACTGAGCTTTCTAGCGCATACTGTGTTAGTTCAGGCGAACAGCTGGTCGCAATGTCCTCTTGTTTTTCAGTTCTTTTGAACAGAAATATGAAGTTTCTGCTTGAGAGAAAGCGATATTCTTACTGTGAAATATTCTTAGTCTTGCTTGCTACAAGTTTAAGCTTAGCTGAATATCACAACATTAACTATGGCGAGTGTTTTTCCGGTATTTTGACGTAGCACCAATGCTGAGCAGATGTAAGTTAGTAGTAATCTCTTCATAGTATTTTTAAACTATTCACAGTACGATGGCCTACAACTGATAGATTTGTTTTTCATGCTGTGAATGTCATGCCTGTGAACTGTTAATTTGGTTTCTCCCATAGAACTTTTAAGAAAAGCAGGCCTCGAAGTGTTTACCATGCCATTAATCTCAATTTGTAATCAATCAATCATTCATTCCAATTAATGTTATTTGCAGGAGCTAAGACACTTTGTTTACGCGCTCGTTAAACTTCCTGAGAACATTTCATTAAATTTGAACCAATCCAAAGGAAAAAGAAACGAAATTCTGTCAAAACTTACTAAAATGTTTACATCTTAAAAGCACATCATTGACTTCACTGTAATTGTGTTTCTTAATTAATAATAGAGGGTAGAATTGTGTTATCATGTGTAGTTGACATTTCAGGCAGGAATTTTTATCGGACAAGTTTCGTTAACTTTCTTAAAGGGCCTTTGGTGACCAATGCAGGTGAAGTTGAAAGGTGTTGAACATGGCTAGACGTGAGCTAGGCAACTGGGTCAAGTACATTAAGTCGAGGCCCATGCAAAAAAGAAGGCACGCCGTTTTCCTTGTGTGTCTCTTCGCACACGCATGTGACCATAAATCTGAAACTACGATACAGCGGTCAAATGTTTGTCATGCGCGAGGGGATCAATTCTGCCTGGCCGCATGCCAAATATTGCCCGCGCGAAATTTCAACGGAAAACATCAGAAACAACTGCTGTCACGCAAAATAATTGATAAAATTGAAACGTTCATAGAAATCTGGAAATGGTAAAAAATATAAAGAAAAGTAAAACTCGAGCCTTTTCGAACATTAAGCCTATTCAAGCACGGGTATCCTGTTGATTTATCATTCTGTTTTGAGCTTTACCAGAAAAGTTATTCGCTTTTAAAACGCAGTGACTTACTGGCTCGTGATGCTGCTTGTAACTCCTGTGAGACAACTTGGTTTTGACAGCCTGAAAGCACGCTACCAAGTCATTTCCACTTTTGCACATGCGCAGAGTTTTGACAGCTGTGTTTACCCCGCCTTGCTGGATCTTGGCGCCCACTCGTAGTAGGAAATAAAAGGTGATAGTGGGTTGACTCGAGGAAAGAGCGGGTCGAGTTAGCGGGAAGATTGGGGGAACCCGAAGAAAAAGCCTTCCCTTCCTCTTTCGTTATATCTGTCAAAATAAAGTTCTTCTTCATATTTGTGTTGTGAAGCATACAGCTAAATAACGTTAAACGTCTTTTATTTTAGGCAACGGTTATCCAGGTTTGCGCGTGCGCTGTAAGGCAGATTACATGGAATTGACTTTAATACGAAAGCACTATGCAAAGATCGACCCAGCCACTCTCCGCCTCACAGACGGCAGTTGTGGTCCTCATTTTCACAACAGCTCCATTATGGTGATCAGAGCACCTCTGGGTGGGTGTGGCACCAAGGCCGGTCCAGAGGGCAGATTACTTGGGTTTCGCAACGAAGTGTACGCGGATCTCAAAGGTAGATCTTCCATCGCACGAGAACCTGCTTACCAGTTTCGCCTGCATTGCTTATACTACACAACTGCTAAAATAATGTTACATTCCTTCAAACCTGACGCAAAAGTCATTGTTGAACCACCAACAGGTAAGTCTTTGTTAACTAGGTAATTCCCATGAGTGACCAAGACAGATTTTTCTCCTTACAATATCAATGCAAGTGATGAAATTAAAGAAAAATATCAATTATCCAGGGAAGTATTAGTTGACCCCATACCAAATCCTCCAAACTATCATCATAAGAATTGTATGACGGACAGTAAGGAGACAACCTCGTTCCCAGGGCCTTTTCCCTTAGCTAGGGTGGGGCAACTCCACCCCCAACCTAGGGAAAGGCCCTGGGAACAAGGTTGAGGAAGGAGAATGACTAATGAGGTCTTGGGAGTGAAATTTAGGCTCAGAAATTGATGCGCACGAATTCCCTAAAAGGCAAGTGCGTTGAAGTTTTCTTCCCCATACTGTGATGTTTTGTCCTTTCGTTTCTTTAAAAAATCGCCAGATCGGCTGGAGCGAATTGGAGCTGCATTTCTGCCACAGATTTATAGTTTAAACAGCGAAAGATAAACTTAACCACAGCGATTTTAGAATCCCCTGGGGTAAATGAAATTGTCGATAAATCGGTGGTAAAATCGCAGGTTTTCTGCAGCGAATGGAGGACAGTTTGGGATTTTATTGTATCAGGAGGTGTGAAAAGTCAGAGCAAAATTTAGTTTTTTACTGGGAAAGGGAAGTCATTTTTGGTTAAAACTATCACGAAATTCAAGAAAACGAGGGTTCAAATAATAGGGATTCTACTGTACAGTGTGAGTGCATTCAGGATTTGAAATGATGACCTTTTTCCATCCCAAAGTTGGGATGAAAGTCTGTGTCTGAGCAACTGTTCACCTCCCCCACCCCCCACTAACCCGATACTAACCCCACCTTGTTATCAGTTGACTGTTGTTGGATTAGGGGAGGGGTAAGTGCGTAGTTTCTCAGCTACTGACCTTAACCCGAAAGTTGTATCCTTGGAGACACCTTACATTCTAAATTACAATATCGTTCTCGCCGCCACTTACCCCTAAGGGGCCGGAAGGTTAAAAAGTCGTTGGTAAAATTTGGATTAATTGAAGTTTTTATAACGTATCATTTCTTATTGTTTTTCTCTCTTTGCTCTCTCATTGGTTAGAATTTGGGAACCTCATGTTTGAAACCAACATGTTCCAAACAGACAAATACATCAGCCAGTATACTCAGTTCCCAGTGAAGGTGCATGTCAGTGAAAGTGTTTATCTGCAAGTGAGAGTGAAATCCAATGCGTCAGGCTTGTCCATGCTTCTCGAAAACTGCTGGGCAACACCAACGCCGAATGCTAACGCGAACGACTCAGAAGTCTACTGGCTGATAAAGGAAGGGTAAGGGTTAAATTATTTCATGTTGTTAGGCTAGAATATGTAAACAGTTTGAAAAAACCCTTGCAAATGTATTTTATTGCTTTGCAACCCTTTCTAAAAAATTAAAAACTCTTTAACAAAGAGCTCTGTACCATTAAGCGGGCGTTACAACCTCGTTCCCACGGCCGTTTCTCTTACTTGGGGGTGGGGCCCCATCAATCAATCAATCAATCAATCAATCAATCAATACTTTATTTACCCACGTAGCTTCAAGGAGCTCATAGAGCTCGTTCAAAACAAGGGAAAAGGCCATGGGACCTAACCCTCTTTTCATTTTTTCTTCAGTTGCCCTGAGACAAACTACTTAAACTACAAAGCATCGGATTCAGTTTATCAGCGGTTCAGTTTTGAAGCATTTAAAATGGAGGAGTCTGAGGTGGTATATCTTCACTGTGAAGTGCTCGTCTGCGCTCATAACTCCGTGAACAAAACGCGTTGTGCCGAAGGTTGCACCAAAGACTCTGGCAGTAGTAGAAGACGGCGGGATGAAACGAATCGAGATCAGCGCAAGGGAGTTACTTCTTTGGGTCCGTTGAAGATCCTTACCGACAGACTTGAAGTTCAACCACCGCAAAAAGGTTCGTGTTAAGACTGAGAGTTCGAAGTAAAGAGGAGGCACGAGTTTGATTTCTGTCGAAGACTGAATCATTAAAGCCTTCTTTATCATTTCCTTTTTAGTTATCGTCTACAGCTGAAAATATGATAAACTCTTTTTATTTGTAATTTTAATATTCCGCCCTAATATATCCGTTTTCTTTGCTTTAAGACGAGACTCGTTCCCAATCCACGCAAGTTACACTTGAGATCCGAGCAGTGCTACTGTCGTTCTTCTTGGCGTTCCTTTCGCTGATGTAATCAACTGTGAATCACTCATCACCGCCAATCATAGTTGGAGTCGTGAAAGTAAGATGACTGACAATAACTCGCGCCAAATTTTATAAAGCAAGGAAAGAATTTAGAAAAGATACGGCAGATTGGTACTGTGGTACTGTTTTGTAGGAAGTTAAACTAAAACAAAATCAGGGATGGTAGTTACATAAAATAATTATAGTGTGAGGTAAGAGGGAGAGTGATTATAACGTGATATGAGGAGATGAGAGTGTAAATAAGAGTCAGATTAACACTTAGAAATTTAGAAACGAAGAGAGAGAGAGAGAAAAAAAGATCTTCCTTAGGAACTGTTCATTATTTATCGCCAGGTGGGGGATGGGGGTCGGGATGTTTTGATTGTCTCAAGATAAAATTTACTTGATCCCTCCATAGGGCCCCTGCAATATTCTTATGATTCCCCAATTCCCCAACCCCCTTTCCTCATTGAAGGTCAATTGGCAGTCAATTATCTATAGTCCCACATTTATACTCTTATTGGCGACAACTCAACCCCCTCTGTTCCCCGTGAAAACCATGTCACACTCTCCCCCCAAAAAAAAATAATCTTCTGCCCCTCCCCTCGCTTAGGCGATAGATGAATGTCGGTGAATTATGCCTACCAGTAAAAGTTCACTCAGAAAGTAACAAAGGAAAGAAATTCGGCTGGAGGTTACGAAGGTAAAACAGTTCGTCCCTCAATAGGAACGTTTGGTATTTATCGTCAATCAATGTGTATTTAGCCTCAAAACTAGGTAGCAAATTATTTAAAACAATTTTAAGAAGTACGAAGAATTTAATGATGATTCAAGTTTTGCGCCGCTGTAGTAATTTACTTCTGTCGAAGTTTAGAAACGTAGATATTTTTTTTCTCGAAAAATATTTATCAAAGGTTGTTTTTATGCGTTACTCTTAAAAATGCTAAGTAGGGCTTGTCCAAGGCATGCGAACGCCGCGCCAAGAAAAATGAGAGGACCGATTTTTCAATTTTTCGCCCACGCGCCTGCTTTACGCGCTCTGGGTGTTGAGTAACAATGATTTTATAGTTGAGAAGGCAGGGCCGTACTACACAATATATCTTATCCCATGACTTTTTAATTTATATATATAATCAATCCTTAATCATTCGCAATCATTTCCGCAATACAGCTGGGAAGCGTAATTAAGTAAGTATATTTATCCACGTTGAACACTAAAGAGCTTACAGCAAAGCTCCTAAGAACGTGCATGTGCTAAGTAGTCCCACCCATCCCACCTCAGGGGAGGACATCCATCACACAATAATCTCGTGCATGGGAAATTAACGTCTCCTACCCCTAACCCTGCTGGAGACGGGACCTCCATTTAGTCGTCCCTATCCGAGAAGACTAGAATATCTAACCATTTCTTGATGTTATAGAAAGGTAGCATATTCTTCTCAATTATTTTAAGACCTTGAGTGTTGGTCCGGCCGGGGCTCGAACCCTCGTCCTCCCGCACAACAGTCCAGTGCTCTATCCATTGAGCTAACCGGGAGGCGGTTAGACTCCCTCGCAGCCGTTTTTTGGGATTGCGGTAAGCGTAAGCTTTAATGGCCATGGATTGTTATGTTCAATAACACTATCTTTGTCATTATCTATTTTTCTCACCAAAGTCCGACTAACACG